TAGAAGGAGTAGCATTTTAAAGGAATTTCACAGAAAATTCTATTTTTAGTAACCATGGCAACACTGTTCATCGAAATCAAAAATTGATGCACTATTTTATGTATCTTAGTGTAGTCTATTTCTGTGCCAAGTAATATTGAAATCAGATCAAAACTGTAGGAGGAGTAGGGTTTTAAAAGAATTTCACAGAAAATTCTATTTTTAGTAACCATGGCAACACCGTTCATCAAAATTAAAATACGATGCACTATTTTATGTATCTTAGTGTAGTCTACTTCTGTGCCAAGTTATATTGAAATCAGACCAAAACTGTAGGAGGAGTAGCCTTTTAAAGCAATTTCACAGAAAATTCTATTTTTAGTAACCATGGCAACACCGTTCATTGAAATCAAAAACCGATGCACTATTTTATGTATCTTAGTGTAGTCTACTTGTGTGCCAAGTAATATTAAAATCAGACCAAAACTGTAGGAGGAGTAGCGTTTTGAAAAATTGTTTACAGACAGACGGACAGACAGACAGATGGACGGACGATAACACACGCATAAGCTCTTCTGGTCTCTGACCAGTAGAGCTAAAAAACAAAAAAAAAACAACACTTTCGACATAAAATATAGTTCCTGGCTTAATCCCATTTGAATGAAATTTAATTGCTTTTTTTTTTTTTTTCATATAGTTTAATCTGCATCGTAGAATCCAAGATTTAATGTTAGAACTTAAAAATGATGCAGAATTTTAGAAAAAAAAAATCTGCTGAAAAGCTCAGGATCGAACCTCCTTCATGAGGAACAATTGTGAGAAATAAAAACACTATCATCAAAATGCAGAATTTTAGAAATAAAAATCTGCTGAAAAGCTCAGGATGGAACCTCCTTCATGAGGAACAATAAATTATTGTGAGAAATAAAAACACTATCTTCAAAATCCATAATGGCATGTGTGACCGATCGACAAGGGATGTTTATTCCTGCATGGCACCTGAACCAAGCCCTAATGCTTTCAGAGGTCTGTACATGTATTTCCTCTGATTGCAATTTGAATTGTTTAACTGACTTTTTTGAGTTTGATAACTGTTCATTTTATCCATATCTATAGTAAACACAATTATGCCTACAGTGAAGTAATATTCTTTCTCTGTGGCTATAAAATATATCATGTACACAGAATAAAGATTTAAAGAATTTTATCTATTATGAAAAAATACAGTCTGCCCCTGGCATTTAGTTTTAAGTTTGTTTTACTGTAAATATAAGACTTTAAAGTAAAACACATATTGAATATTTCATTTAGTTAGCAACAAAAGAAGAATCCTTCCTAAATGAACTATTTGAAATAAGTATATAACACTGCAGTCATGTACATGTAGCAGTTTTATTTTGGGAGTACTGTAACTGTTATAATAAAATAAATAGTAACAACCACTTGAAGACGTGTTTGTCAATTAATAACAACAACAAAGAAAACAAAATTGAACAGATCTTAGACAAAAATGCACATAATAAAATACACAGACAGCATTAATCCAAATATCAAACAAAAAATCTTTAAAAATAACAGAGAAAATTTATATAGTAATTTACCGGTATATGTGAAGAACATAGTAAAAAATATTTGCCATTAAAGAGACATCAAAACATGAAACGGAAAAAGAAAACAACGCAAACATCTATGTGTAACCAACAAATGTATGTACGTATTTTCAAAAAATATTTTTTGATGTGTTTCTATACATTTCTTAATAAAATAACATTTCTTTTTTTCTCTCTCTCTCTCTGTAATTTTTATCAATTTTGGGTAAGCCTTTAGTAACAGCTTGTCTTGCTCATTCTCTGAAGCAAATTTACTTGAACTTGCACAATGTATAATTCAAAACCCCAACTGATATTACAAATGTATGTAATTTTCGTTTATATATATATATATATATATATATATATATATATATATATATATATATATATATATATATATATATATATATATATATAAGTTTGAAATGCAAGACAGATCATAAGAATATTATACAAGCAATTGAGAAAAAAAGTTATTTGACCAAATAAAAAATATAATCTATGCAGTTCTCATAGTATTACAGTAAAACTCGATTATAGCGAAGTCCTAGGGACCTGTGAATTTAATTCGCTATATCCGTAATTCGTTATAACCGTATAACGAATTCGTAAAACCATATAAAGCGAATTCGCAATATGCATGTTTTCCTTCAAGTATTACTACCAAATATGTTAGGGAAGCAAATATTACAAAACGAACCTTCGATAACTAAGGTTTTATTGTGATTTGAATTATAGATATACAATTCCATGAACAAAATTAAGTCAGTTCAATTCATCAAATTTTGAGATCTTTGAACGTTCGTTACAAAAGATGTAAATTTCATTATATTTAACTTCAACGGGACCCCAAATCAGTTCGCTATATCTGTAAATTCGTTATATCAGAGTTCGTTATAACCGTAAAATTTTACAACGATTTGTTAAGAATTTTGCCGGGGACCCAGAAAAACTTCGCTATAACCGTGAATTCGCTATATCCGTGTTCGTACTAAACGAGTTTTACTGTATAGATAATCTGATTAAAAATCTTCTTTAGCAACCCAATAAAATTTCATCACGAGATTCAGACAAGTAATAAAATTAAGTCTAAATTTAGAGAAACAGTCCTAAAAAAATGTATGTGTGTGGGTGTTTGTGTGGGTGTTGCTGAGAGCATATTACACATGTATGTGTGCAGGTGTTTGTGTCGGTGTTGTGGAGAACATTTGTGTATGTATGTGTGATTAGAAAAATATAATCTAAAGTTCTGTGATGTAAAGATTGATTTCAGGTATAATATGAACTTCATGTTATAAAAAAAATAAGACTGTGTTGACAAAAAAATGGCAAGAATACAGTTTGAGGTACTTAAAGGGCATCTCATAATTCAATAATTTAAACATTTGCACTTATATTCAACTTTAGAACACCAAATTTGATAATCACTTATACGTGTTTCATTTATCTATATTAAAACTTCCACGATTTTAAAAATTATAAGTTGATTAAAGTACTGTTTACATTGATCAAATAATCACTTTTATTACTATTTTAATATTTTTAAAAAAAAGAAAAAGAACAAATATATTGCATCATATAAATCTCAGCTGGTTTTGTTATAGTTTTACAAATGTCCATTTTCAACTTTATTTGTTCATTGTTTTATATTAAATGAAGTAAATGATACAGCAAATAAGCTTAATTGAAAAAAAATATATACTTTAAATAACCTCAAGGACTACTTTTATACGCGAGAATTAAATTTTTGATTATTATAGTTTTATTCTATTATCATTATGTTTATTCTAAGACAGTAACAATGTGTGAAAAGGGCCACTGTTCCATAGAATTATTTTGTTCAATAATTTGATGAAAAGAAAAGAATTGATCGATGTCCACTGAATGGTTTAAGTGCCTGGATATAAAATTCAAAATAAATAAGGTGAAAAAAAATAAACACATACAAATAGAAAATAAGGACAAAAGATACACGTGTTCAGCACATTATATACGAGGGCTGTTCAATAAATAATGTCCTGAACTGTATGACATACAATACAGATATCATATAACATTAAACTTTACCTTTTCTAATAGTTGAATCTTTAATGAATTTATAACAGTTTATGTGACCACTTTTCATCACATAGTTTCATCGTGAGAAGCTGGGAAACAAGGGCTTTTCGAGACACTGCATTATAAATGAATGGTAAAGAATCGGTAAACTCAAGAGAAAATAAAAGCTTCATCAAATCAGCTGTAAAACTTGTTAAAAATCCAAAAGAAATATTCACTGAAATATGTGACATTTACAGCAACTAATGCCTGTTTTATAGACAAATAAGCAGGTGGATTTCAATGATAAAAAATTATATAATGGGCATCAAAAATGGGTACCATCCTCGCCAACAAAAATTACAACAACTTATGTACTGTTTGCCAAATTTCACCAAATAATACTTGATGATGTAGGATTGACTTTAAAACACATAGCAAATTTGATAGACATCACATCGGGGTTAGTTTAAACTTTTTTAAAGAAACGTTTGACGGTAAAAAAGCTTAGTACTCAAAGGTCACCCTATATTTTGAAAAATGAGTTAAAACGTTAGCGTGTACAAATGTCTTACCATTTCAAAAAATATATCAATAATTGGAGTTATCCATGTTGTTTAGATATTCAAACGGATATTGGAACTTGAATCTATTGCTTAAAATCCTCAAAACAAAATTTACGATAAGATGTACTTGACAAAACAGCGAAGGTCTGGTGAGAACAAAGAATTGCAAGAGCACAAAGACAGATTTATATGCAATTTTCTTAAATATTAGTGGTATTGTTGTTCAAATTCGTATTCGATGAGACAGTTTAATTTCTAGAGGAGTTTAAAAAGCAAATTGTTTGCAAAAAAAATTGAAAGGTTTACTAGAGGAATGACCCAGAATCAGGAATCCACTACATTAAATTTCTCCATGACAGCGTCCAAACCCGCATGCCCTGATGAGTAAAGGGTTTTCGGGATAAACGGATAGTTAATATTTTTCACATTAACAATATTCGCCAGATCTTAGACCTTTTGACTTGTTTCTATTTCCAAATTTGAAAAAAACACCTTTAATAAGGAAGAAACAAGTCCAGGAAATCATTGGATCTGCCATTTTCCAGTATACTAAGGGTCATACCCAAAAATGAGTTCTACAAACAATCAGAAATTGGATACAAAATGTTATGGACATGTGTTTTAATCAAGAGAGATTAATAAGTAAAATAATGAAGATTAAATCATTGAAAAGCGTCTTTTGCTTCTTTCCGAGCACCGAGGACATTATTTATTGAACAGCCCTCGTATGATAGTCATTGATAGATAGAATGAAAAAATAGACATTTTTCAAAACGACATAAATGCAGATAAAACAATGACACTCATATTTCAAATTTCAACAATTATCCAAATTATGATAATGATGAAAAAACAGCTGTTAAAGAAAACTTCCTGTGGCCATTTTCACAAATAATTATATGACTAAGATGAAAATTTGATATTTCTGTAATTTTTGTTTATAAATAAATATGTATATTTTTTCTTAAATATTTTTACTAAGTAACTAAATGTAATAGGGATATAAGATTTTTTTTATGTCCCACTACAGCTTAGATACATGTTGGGGTAGGGGAAAAGTTTTGTCTTAGTTGTAAGATTATATTTAGAAAAGGCTAGTAAACTGGACAATTAAATATTTGTATATATTATGGTAAAACTTCTGGTCAAATAAATATTGGTACATATTATGGTCCCAATAATATATATTTATCACAATAACCCCTCCAATCCCCCCCTCCCCCCCCCCCAGTCTCCATGAAAACTGAGAACTTCATGTAGCAGTACTGGGTGGGGGATTATCTTTTTTTCTTATCTAACTAAGGGAAACATTCTGTCAACAGATCTAAGTAGTGCTATGTTTGATTCAGCTTTTCTTCACATTATGCTGACAGAGTTTCCAGTAAACACCTTTCTTGGTCAATAATTCGGAATGGCTTCCTAATTCTACCACATGCCCTTTGTGTATTATGGCGATCTTATCTGCGTTTTGAATTGTAGACAGTCTATGAGCAATCACAACACAAGTACGGCCCTCTCTAGCTTTATCTAATGCCTCCTGAACAATCTGAAAGAAGACGGTATTCAAGTGCATAAAACTTTCTAAAAATAATAGATTCTTGACGTGAAAGATTTACACTCAGTTCCTATCCTGAGTGTATCATAGGTGTAATATTAGTTATCCAGGTCCAATCAAGGGTGTACGATGATTTACCCCGGGTTTTATTCCATAAACCCTGAAGCAGAAGGCCAAAGGGTGTATGGAATACAACCCAAGGTAAATCCCCGTACACGACTGATTGGACCTGGATAACGAATTCATTTCCTATGTTCCATATAAATTCTTTGAAAACATAAGTCCAATCAACAGTGTCTCAAATTATCAATAAGATTTAATATGTACTACAATGCATTGTGACGTTATGTTATTTGCTTTTTAATTTTTATCATAGAAAAACTATGCATTGTGACGTTAGGTTATTTTCCCTCGGCTCAAGTAGGGTGTACGTAAATTTACACCCGAATTTGTAACCAATCAAAGCTTGAGTTACAAGCTACATAGGAAATGAGCAGATTTACCGTGGGTTGTATTCCTATCCATACTCCCTAACCTGAACCTGGATAACTAATATTGCTTCCTGAACTAAAATTTTCTGAGATCAGTTCAGTAAAAAAGCTTTTGATCAACTTCAAATTTTCTTAATCTCTGTATAAAATACATGACTGCACATTAATGACTTTGAAGTTGTGTACTGGAAATGAACATTACCTCAATGTATGCATTTAATATTTAATCATTATTGCATGAAAATTACTTCAATGCATGCATTTATTCAATTATTATTGTTCACTTCATGTGTGTTGCATTGTAATATATCTAAACTGTTATTCCTTTGCTCAGTGTTCTGTTAAACTGTAATATAGTAAAACAGTACCCTTTCACTCTCAGTGTCTAATGCTGATGTGGCTTCATCAAGAAGTAATATTTTAGGATTTCTGATAAGTGCACGAGCGATGGCGATTCGCTGCTTCTGACCTCCGGAGAGTTGTGTACCTTTATCGCCAACATTTGTTTCATAGCCCTACAAATATAAATGACAAAACTATTACCTTTCATTACTATGATGAACTATAATTACTGAAATACTTTGAACAAAGAAATATTTGTAATGTAGAAAAATTATGCCAAAATTATCAACATGTGAACAGTATGAAAAAATGTTCCATTCTGAATACAAACCAAAGCATATTCATATAAATTATGTAAGTTCCACAAAAAAATCCCAATTGTGGACTCTTTGGTACATTGAAATTTGCAATTTGACTTTTTTACAATTCTAATATAGATAAAAATAAAAAAAAAAAGAAAGGAAAAAATCAGAATTCCAAAGTCTGTAATGAGCATTTATTCAATGGTATCAATAATCTGCTAAAATTCAAACTATAAACTCACATGAGGTAAACCTTCAATGAAGCTATGGATGTTGGCATTCCTGGCAGATCTGATGATTTCATCCATGGGAACCTCTCGGGAGTTATCCCCGTATGCTATATTCTCAGCAATACTGGTGTCAAACAACATGGGTTCCTGGGAAACGATTCCTATCTGTGACCTCAACCAGTTCAGGTTCAGCGACTTCAGGTTGAACTTGTCCACCATCTGCAAAGTAACTTCAAACCATTAATCTTAATTTTACATAGAAACTTCCTTGTTTAAAAATTAATTAATTTCATTTATTTATTTTTTATTTATTTATTGATTTATTTTGAATTCATTCATTCTTCCAATTGAACAGTTGCAGGAAATTAGGAAAATTTAAACAAGAGAATTTTATTTTGTTTGCAAGAAGCAGAAAATCAAATACATCTTTTCAACTTCAAAATTATTTTCAAATGCTAGTTTTTCTAACAACTTGTTTATAAGCAATCTCAATTTTGAAGATTTTCTGTTGGGAACATAAAACAGCTCTATAAAGTGAATAGTGGTACTTTTATCACAACCTCTTTCCCCTGAACCATTGCTGGGATCATACAATCATCCTATATTAAGTTGTGAACAGTGGTGCTTTTACCACAGCAACTCATGTATAACCACTAACCACTGAACTATAAGTTAAGCAGTGGTACTTTTACTACAGCCATTCCTGGAAAACCACTTACCACTGAACCACTGCTGGGATCATAAAACCGTTCTATAAGTTGAACAGTGGTGCTTTTCCCACAACCACTTGTCCCAACTAGAGCAAAAGTTTCACCGGGTTTTACAGACAAACTTAGGCCCTCTAAAACTTTCACATCAGGTCGAGAAGGGTAGGTAAAGTGGACCTCATTCAACTCAACTGCTCCAGTTAAGGATTCCTGTAAAAAGTTCATACAATTTAGAAAATTAAAACATCAAGTATAAATATATGTATGTAAACCTTAATATTAAAAATTAGTATATACTGAACAGGTCAAAATCACAGTATTTTCTGACATCACCATTTTGCAATTTGGTTAAGCTATCTGTTTACTCTACTGATTGACCAATCAGTTAAATGAGTTGCAATGCATTTAAGGCTTCTGGAAGTTTGATAATGAACATGGTGTATTGAAAAGAAAGTCCAGTCTAAATTGTCCTTTGATAATTCATTTTTGAATGAGATGGTCCCAATGAACTTCCCAATGTACATCAAAAAATTAATTGGCTAGGTAACTCTTTACTCCTTCCAGAAAGAAATAATCCAAACAGAATGTTGAGCATATAGATTTGTAGCATGCTGCAGAAAAATCACCTTGCAGGAAGTACTACGAGAAACTGTATGTTTGGCAGTGAATGGTTGATGTAAAAATAAAGTTAGCATCCTCATACTTTTGTTCCAATTGAGTCTTTGCCCCTTATTTAGATTAAACATATGCAGTGAACCTGCATAAATTAAATCTACCAGTCAAAGTCTGGGAGTAACATCATGATTATAAAAAATTAATCTGAATAATGTTTATGTGCCCCCCCCCCCCAAAAAAAAATTAACTTACTGGTTTTTCTCCCTCTTCTTTTTGAGCATCAATGACTGGTACCCTCTCAATGATAGAAAACAATCTGGTGGCAGCTCGCCTTCCTTTTGTGAAATCCGGTGCACTGGAACTGGTTCTTCCTACATGCATTCCCCCAAATATAATAGCACCAAATACCCTAAAACACAAACCAGAAAAAATTCCAGGTAAAGTCAAGTAAAGAGAAAGTATACAGAAGATTCCTAAATCTAAGCGGGTAATTATGACATAATTTTGGGTAATTTTGGGCGAAGCACCACACGTGTAAATTACATGTACTCACTTTTATTTTTTGGTGCTGCATTCCATGTAAAACCACACAGAACAAGCATCCACTTGGGGGATTTTTTTGTTCTTGTGATTTAATGTCTAAGAGCCATTTTGCAAAATTAAGTAATAAAGTAAAATGAGGAATTTGCAGTACTGCAATCATAATAATTATCATAATTTAGCATCTCTTCATGTGTAGTATATAGCTCTTCAGGATGAAAAGTGTAGAAGACCTTTTCATCCTGAAGAGCTCTATACATGTACTCCATATGAAGAGATGCTAAACTGTAAAAGAACTTTACCTGAACACATCCTGGAATGGGAGTCCCTGAGTCACTAAGTAGGCCCCGTAGGAGAACGCTGCCGCATACGCGAAGTACATAATACTCTGGGAAGTGCCAAACACAAGGCCATAGAGAGCAGCTCGCTTTACACCCGACCTATTGATAACAATGCATACAATTACATCAAATTTCAGAAAGAGAATAAGGTTTTTTTTCCTTTGAAGTTAAGACCTAGAATTTCATGTCTTTCCTTCAGGCACTTCATTCAAGTTTTACCGACGCACAAGTTTTACTGATTCAATTATTAGAGCAACATCATTTCTATAAACAATTTTTTTATAAAAAAATCAATTTTGACGTTTATATTTATTAACTTACTTATAAATGCTGTCAACATGTGAAGAGTACTCATCGACAAAAGTTTTCTCCCTTGTGAGTGATACAACCGTTCTCACGTTGTCTATGGCCTCTGTACACACCTGTCCAATTATAAAAAATGTTGAACAGATACACATAATTTATTTATTTAGTCTGCACACACCTGTTTTATATGAACACTGTACAGGTATAGGTATTTATTTGTTCACAAAGAGTATTTTTTTAAGCTTCATTCGAATACTTTAAATCACCTTTAATATAGTTTTTTTATTTTTTGTGTAATATTGCTACAAGATAGAATGTCTGCACAAGAAAATACCATTTTTGCGTATTTCATTTAATTTAAAATTACTTACCATCATTAAATTAATCCTAATCTATCTTGATTACATGTATTGATATCAAAGAATTGTCCTGTGTCAAGAAGTTTTGCTGCACTGCAGAATTTATGATAAATAAGTATTCCAAACCTTTCCAGCTTCTTCCATAGACTTTTTATCCCCCTTGGCAAAGCCTGCCACCAGTTTGGACTGCATGACCCCCACCCCCATCATCAGGGGCATGAAGGCCAGAATGACCAGGGTGAGGTTCCAGCTGTAGATAAAGGCCACTATCAGTGCCGTGGTGAGGACGGCTACAGACTCCAATACCTGGCCTATCTTAGTTCCTGTGGCCTACAAATAAGGAATAAGTATAGCTATTAAATACATTCAAATAAAAAATTGTAAAAATTGACATCCAGAAAGAGTCATTCTGTTGAGCTAGTTATGGCCTTGACCAATTTAGTAAAATGACTATCCATATCACTGTCCAATTCAGTAGATGAGCCAAGTTCTAATGTGTAGAGAATTTTCAATTAGAAATTGCACTGCATGTCCAAAACAATAATAGAATTCAGGATTTAATGGGCAAAATGTATTTCCCTGGCTCATTTTATAGAACATGAAAAATGCAAAAATGTCAAAATCTATTGTGCAATTATTAAAATTAATATATAAACTTTGATACCTCAAAGTTTGATAACTCCAACACTATATGGATTTGAAATGATTTGAAATTTTCTTATTGCATTTAACTTCAAAGGTTTATCTTGGTTTCAATAAGTTCAAGATTATGATATTTATTGTGCAAATTTATAAATGCTAAAGGAGATGAGAAATTTTAAGGAGAAGTTGAACTGATTTGAAAGTTCATATGGGTTTTTTCCCTAATCAATTTACACTGAAAGTCTTGAATCCCTGGATATATCAATGTATGTTCTTGGTCTCATTAAGTTTAAGATACTGTAGATCACTAAATTTTCGCTACACCTTATTTTCGCGAGATAGTCATTGACTCTTTATTAGCAAGACATAATTTTCACGAATTGTTGTTTTTCCTCTATATAATCGTAAGGAATACTTTTAAATGCGAGAATGAAATTTTCATGACCTCATTGTCTCGCGCAATTACGCGAAAATAAAGTTCTCGCGAATAAAACGTGATTTACAGTAACGAGGTTTGACAGTATAAAGATAAACTCACCCCTTGAACAAGAGCAGCATCGCTGGCTAACCTCGTGGTCAGAGCACCAACACGATTCTCATGGCTATCAAAGAAGCTTATATCCTTCAAAACAAAACAACATCTTTGCAGGTAAACCAATGGTATAGACTTTTTAGTTCACAAGTACATGTAGTTATTCTCTAATTCACACTGGTAGAAAAGAGGCAGACGAAAACCTGTGGCCCTTGACAAAGATAAGTAACAAACATAACATGTCTCTTCGAATAAAAAAATACATTTAATTCAGGAATAAGTCTTTATTTTTCGATTTCATGATGTGATATCAATTGATTGGCTTGCGTGATCATTTGCATAAAGGCATTTATGCATAAAATTGTCACACAAACCAATCGATTGATTATCCTTATGAAATCGAAAAATCTGACAGTTATTCCTTATATTTACATGGTATTGATTCCGCCAATCCACGTGCTAGAAGCCCCGCTTCTTGTCTCTAATTGTCCCACCTTGCACTTGATATTTTTTAATCGCACCTATCAATGAACCAGTGCATTGATGAGGAAATAAAGTACTTTAACTATTTGTAATTTTATCTCCAAAAATGACTTTGGAAATGTAAGTATTCTCATAAATATATTTCTACAGTGGGTTCCTTTATTTTGTAGGGTCATTCTGCCAGAAACTAGAACCGATTCTGGGTTCTTTTGAGTGTATTTACTGAACATTTTTCAGGACATGGATGTTAAAATGAACGTTTTTATCATAATCTACGATTACAAATTCATACCAATTAAGTTTACTAGGTTTGAACAATGGGGCCTAATTATTCAGTTCAGTCAAGTAAATTTTATTTATGGTGGGCATATCTTTGATTCTGCAGTCTTATATATTGAATATGTAACAGTTTGTTTACCTGCCATACTATAGATTTGAATGCCAGTTTCCTCATCCTCAACGTCAAATCAGAACCCGCTTTCACAAAACAAATGGACTGCAAACAAGACATAGAAACAGGTTACATCAAACTAGGTCATCATTAATAAATCAAAAGATCAAACCTGCTTAAATAAACTCAAAATTACATTGATGAAAATACAGACAAATTTTAAGGTTATCATTCCTCTGCTTACTCATATAAACAAGAGATGTTTGTAAGACACTTATGCCCCCCTCACCCCAAATTGGAATTTTTTTAAGTCCAAAAGGGCATAACTCTGTCTAAAATGGTGCGATCCTACCCAAAACATTTCTTGACCTAGATATTCAGCTGAAAAATCTGTATACTAAATTTCATTTCAATATGTGCAACCTCTGCAAAGAAAGGAATGGAAACTGCAATTAAGTGGAATTTCTAAGTCCAAGGGGCATAACTCTAACAAAAAGGAAGCGATCGTACCAAAAACACTTCTTGACCTAGATATTTATCTGATATATCTGTATACTAAATTTCATTTCAATATGTGCAACCTCTGCAAAGAAAATGAATGGAAACTGCAAATAAGTGGAATTTTTATAAGTCCAAGGGGCATTACTTTAACAAAAATGGTGCAATCATTTGCATAAAGGCAAAACATATTTTGACCTAGATATTCAGCTCATAAATCTGTATACCAAATTTTATTTCAATATGTGCAACCCCTGCGAAGAAAATGAACAGAAACTGCAAATAAATGGAATTTTTCTAAGTCCAAGGGGCATTACTCTAACAAAAAGGAAACGATTGTACTCAAAACAGAACTTGACCTAGATATTTATCTGAAATACCTGTATACTAAATTTCATTTCAATATGTGCAACCCCTGCGAAGAAAATGAACGGAAACTGCAAATAAATGGAATTTTTCTAAGTCCAAGGGGCATAACTCTGTCAAAAATGGGGCAATATATTGAAAACAGAACCTGACTTGGATATTCACCTAATTAATCTGTTTACCAAATTTCGTTTCAGCATGTGCAACGGTTGTGAAGAAAATGAACGGAAACTAAATGTACCGACAGACAGACAGACCCACCTAAAGACAACAGCAAAGCAATATGCCCTCCCTTCTTCGAAGGGGGGCATAAATATTTCAATAATGCCTGTTTTTCCAAAAAAAAATCTAATTCATGATTAAAATTCACACAATTTCAGCATACCTTGCGGAGCAAATTTTCACAAAAATGACCTGTTAACGTGACAGTTTTATAAAGGAATAATAATATACCAGTTAGAGTTATCACTCTTATCACAGTATCAATGAACCTTAATAGGGAGTATAATTGCTTGGAATTTTTTCGCAGTGAACACATATTTTTTTTACTTGTGAACTTGCAACATTTTTCCCAATTCCCTTTCAAATTTCCCCCATCATATAGCACTTATCCCCACATCCCCTACCCTTTTATGATCTTGTAAAACTTGAGGAGTTCCTTTCCACATGACTTATTCCTTCCAACTTTTCCCCTGTTCCCGTGACCCTATTCCTTCCAACTTTTCCCTGCCCACATAACCCTATTCCCTCCATTTTTCCCCCTGTCCACATGACCCTATTCCTTCCAACTCTTCCCCTGCCCACATTTTCCTATTCCTTCAACTTTCCCCTGCCCACATTACCCTATTTCTTCAACTTTTCTCCTATCCACATGACCCTATTCCTTTAACTTTTTTATCCTATCCACATAACCCTATTCCTTCCATTTTTCCCCTGCCCACATTTTCCTATTCCTTCAATGTTCCCCTGCCCACATTACCCTATTTCTTCAACTTTTCTCCTATCCACATGACCCTATTCCTTTAACTTTTTTATCCTATCCACATAACCCTATTCCTTCCATTTTTCCCACATTTTCCTATTCCTTCAATGTTCCCCTGCCCACATTACCCTATTTCTTCAACTTTTCTCCTATCCACATGACCCTATTCCTTTAACTTTTTTATCCTATCCACATAACCCTATTCCTTCCATTTTTTCCCCTGTCCACATGACCCTATTCCCTCAACGTTCCCCTGCCCACATTACCCTATTTCTTCAACTTTTCTTCTATCCACATGACCCTATTCCTTTAACTTTTTTATCCTATCCACATAACCCTATTCCTTCCATTTTTTCCTCATTCCACATGACCCTATTCCTTCAACTTTCCCCTGCCCACATTACCCTATTTCTTCAACTTTTCTCCTATCCACATAACCCTATTCCTTCCAATTTTCCCCTGCCCACATTACCCTATTTCTTCAACTTTTCTCCTATCCACATAACCCTATTCCTTCCATTTTTCCCTTGTCCACATAACCCTATTCCTTCCATTTTTTCCCTTGCCCACATAACCATATTCCTTCCATTTTTCCCCTGCCCACACAACCCTATTCCTTCCAACTTTCCCTCTGTCCACATGGCCCTATTCCTTTCAACTTTCTTCCAAGTTCCTTTCCCTGCCCCAATGTCATTCCAAACTTTTACCTTCTCTTTAATTTCTCCTTTATATCAGATCCTTTATCTTTCTTGAACCCTAACTAATACCCTCCCATTTTTCATTTCTAACCAATTCTGTTTTATGATTACCTTTGTTCTTTATTTCTTTTTTCTTAAGTTAGAATAAAATCATAAACTAATTAAAAATGCATGGTTTAATTATAATTACCAAAGTAAGCCTGAGTAATGCGGTAAAGACAGCTACTCCCATGACGACTCCAACCAACACACCAATGACTTCATTCTGTTCATCTACGGTCATTGAAAATACCTGAAAAATTACAGACTCTCAGTGAATTCTGTAGATTCCTTTGTAAACATGAGGAATTCATTTTTGCATCATTTCCCTACAAGCTGCACTTGCAAAATTAAATTATTGACTTTTGTTTTTTTTTGTTCTGAAATCCATGTAAAATCTTGTGATCAACCTTCAACTTAATATTAGTTTTCTTGTAATACGAGGTCTCAATCCATTTTGCAATACAGATGTGTTAAGTTCTTTGTGTAAAATAAAGAATTTAGGTAGTGACACAAATTCTGCATTGAAAATCTCTTCTATGACTGATCACTATAACTGCAATGCATATATTCTCACAGCCAAAGAGCACCGATCCCCATAAAATTTATTTATAATGATTCAACAGCAAGACTTACTTTCAGGAACTCAGCCATCAGGAAAGCAAATGCTGGCTGGATAGCCCCCACTATCACAGAACTTATACTGCCTAATGTGATATATAACCACTCAGGCGAGTTCATCTTCATGATTTTTCCTATCGGAACAAGAGGTACATCACTTTCTGCTTCCTCCTAAAAATATAAACATAACTTTAATCTACTGTATGTACACCAGGGAATCTTTGCCCCATGTTATTTTTGTCCTTTAACATTTGCATTCAATTTTGCCTGTTTTCAAATTCACTCATTACATTCTGTTGAAGAAAATAATTATACCGTGCTCTCTGAAACTACCTCATTTTAAATTTTTTCACAAAGGAGTAGTGCCAAAGAGGCAAAAAAGGGGGCGGAAAATTTCTTATGTACAAACTTATATGTATGTGTGAAATTGCTCTCCTGAGAAGTCAACATTTTTTTTTACTTTGAATAAAATGCTCTGTTTACATTTCACACTCTTTCCTCTGTACAAAATGTAATTGCTCTATCAATAGTAGGTGTGTCATTTTTTTTGATATTACATTTATCAAAATATATCCATAAGATTATATCTAAAGTGAAAGGTTCCAAATTGACCTTGGGTCAAGGTCGACACAATTGGGTCATGGGCAATCTTTGTGTGAAATGTCTTTATCTATAAAAGATATGTATCAAACATGATTTTTAAAAATTTTCAGTGACCTTGAACTGAAATGACCTTGTCAACACATGACACACAAACTTTGTGTGAAATAACCATTTATCACAAAATCTGTTTTTCTTCCAGTGACCTTGAACTTCCCCAAATGACCTTGGGTCAATCTAACAACTTAGGTCATGAGCTCTTAGGTGGAAGCTAATGTCCCTCTGTAAATAACTTGCCTCCTCCTCTTCAGTTTTTCCCTCCGTGACCTCATGGTGACTAATGGCACTGTGCCCACTCACTGATGACATCTGTCTGTCATACGGCACACCATTCTGACCTTTGACCTTCTGCATCAAAGCAACATGCTCATCTGGTTCTGCTTCATCAAACATTTCATGCTCCAATTCCTCAACCACTGTTCCATGAAAAGACAAAAAAGAGGAAATTTTCAATTTTGGGTAAATTTGGAAATTACTAAATCTTGATTCATTGCGATCTTGCTGCAGTTCAGCAGAATTTTTTTTCCTATTTGAAAGAGAATTGATTGGCCCTTCTAGGTAACATTGTGATTTACTCTTCTTTTGAATGACATTCACCCACTGATGTTTGAATGGCAAGTTTTGATTGAGATGAAAGGTCCTTTGAGAAAATCAGCAGTATGGAAAGTTTCTAAAAGGCTTGTGGTTAACAAAATATAATAGGATCATATCCATCCTTCTTACATCTTAAATATTTTTCTACTTTCACTTTTCATTGACCATCTTTAGAGAACATAAATTTTATAAAATCATTATTTTTTTCTAATACAGGTCATATAATACTTTCACTACCAAAAACTTTCAAGAAAATTGGTAGTATAGAATATATGTAATTCATTTTTAAAAGCAATTTATTTAACCTTCCTTTATAAAGCTTAGGCCATGCAAAGTTAATTACTTGGTTCTCAAGCCTTTTTTCAAGAAATATGATGAGGGAGGGAGGCATTTTTTTTTCTTTTTTATTGCCGCCAAAATATGATGAGGCTTTTTACATCAACAAAAAATGATGAGGGAGGTGATTTGGTGTTTATATTTTATTGATTTAGCAATAAAAAGGGTATCTCATTAATTTTTTTTTTGCTTATCAACAAACTAATATCTCTTACTTAGTTGACAATCGCTGAAATTATTTTTATCTAGGTGAACTGATTTCTAAACTAGGTGCATCTATTACTCCTTGTAATAACTTTTGTGGTGGATCTAAGATCTTGCTTTCTTTATTGAAGTGCTCTGGTGTTTGCTGTGTCAGGACAGTTGCATGTGTCCAATAAATAAATAAATAATTTCTACAACATGCATATGAACACACAAGTGTATCTCAATGTTTTATCATGTACATTAAGGCAATTTTTAACTTACAACTAATACAGACATAAACAGCATGCTCTGGGGCCGTAAAACTGAGAAGAGTTCACTTTTGGTCTCAGTCTCACTTTTTCAATAGGGATTAATACATGTAGTACAAAAGTGACACTTATATCAAAAGTGAGCCCATGTCAGTTTTATGGCTCCGGAGCCAGTAGTCTGAAATGTCTGACGTTTTCCTTGCATATAAAATATCAAAATCATGAAAAAAGCCTGGAAATTAAATGTCAGATATTTCAGACTAATACAACAGCTACATGTACTGAACGATGTAAAATTTCTTTAATTTTATGAAATGAAAAATTCTTCCATGCAGAAACAACATCCAATATACTGATTGTGTGTAGCTTAATTACAAATTCCACAAAACAATAAATGAATGGAATATACCACTGCATTCAATTTTTCATGCAATATTTCTGTTTAGTCACTTAGCCTCACCAATCAACATTTTTGCTTTAACCGTGCAATTCCACATGCAAGACCAACATATATCGCATCATTTTTAAAGTACAATGAAACACAGCTATTGTTCATGCCAACTTTCAGCACATTAAACATGTTTAATTAAAATTTCCATGCAATTCACAAAGCTGAAACAAATATTGCAAGGATTCATTTACGAAAAGCAAAAAAAAAGAGGTATTCTATATGCATGTATGGAAAATTGTCAGCAATGTATCTAAGGTCCTTTGTTTTAATATTATTGACCTTTCACATCCTAACATGTTACATTATCTAAACTAAAGGTACATTGTGAGCACTGAGCTCAAAAAATGATACCCCCTCTCATAGAAGTATGTCAGATATGAGAAATACCATTTTTAAGAAAACCCAAATATTCGTCAAATAAATATGAAGAAAAGAGTGCACAATGGCTCTTTGTACTTAAGATTCAATATAATTCATGAAATTTTATTAAGTCATGAGTGGTATGAGGTTTTGCTGATACAAGATGGGCACCCCAATTTTATAGAAAGAATAAGCTTCAATGATTTGCTATAAAAAACTCAAATATCTGTCCAACGTAAAATAGGAATTTAATATGCAATAAAGAATCCCTGAAAGTCTCGCATTGAATTTTATTCTGTGGTAAAGGAGAAGTTGCAGACAAGAAGAGATGGGTATCCCCATTGTTTTTTTAATCAAATGTATGGACAGGTGGAAAGAAGGATGAAGGTATGGATAACCCATAATAATAATTTTTGTTTTAAAAATTCTTTCAAAAATCTTATCCTTTTTTGCAACTTGTTGAAATACTTATTCCAATTTATTCATAATAATCAAGATTTTTTTTCATTGGGTAAATCTTTGTTCTAAAAATTCTTTCAAAAATCTTATCCTTTTTTGCAACTTGTTGAAATACTTATTCCAATTTATTCATAATAATCCCCCCCCTTTGTTCTAAAAATTCTTTCAAAAATCTTATCCTTTTTTGCAAAAAAAAAATTCATAATAATCAAGATTTTTTTTCATTGGTACATATATTTACTATATTACAAAGACTTCTCTAACAATTTTCCATACAAGTAAGGTTGTCTTTTTCTTGAGGATTTATTCGATAAACTATATCATACCCTGCCTTCATGCCATCATCACAGACTACAACAAGAAACATTAATACTTATATAAATACTTACCTCTCTCAGTGCTCACCCAAGCCAGCTTGTCAAACAAACTAGCTGTAGGTGAACTTTCCCCCAAAGCAAATGCAACTATGGTCAGAAAATTCAAAAGTGAAATGTTATAAAATGTCTATCAAAGGAGGTACAGAAATATTCTATCTCTATCTTAGTTTTTATGATATATACAGAATTGTTGCAATGGAAATTGTTTAATCCACTTTCAGTTTTATTTAAACAAATACCAGATCCTTTGGTATATACATGTATGAATCTGGTTATTTTTGCTTTAATAAATTTTTAGATATAAGCTTGAATTCGCAAAAATATTTATATTTTTAAAATAATTCACAATAAGAAAATGTAAAAAAAATTATGGTGCACATTGTGCCCAAAATTTTGAAACACAAAAATTTATCAACGTGCATTTTGAAGTTCGCAAAATAAAATCAACATAAAAATTTTTTCCGCCGTGAACAGTTCATTAAAGTGTTTGTGTCTATTAACCAGAGATCCAAAAAGATTGATCTTCAAAATTAATGGCATCGCAAAAAAAATTTATCCCTGGTAACATCGCAAAATGTCCATTTGCAAATAAAAGTTGGTTTACAGTATATTCCAGCTCTAGCTATAAAATGTTTAGCAATGCAAAATTAATTTCTCTTTTTTAAATTGTTCTTCACATTCTTAAACATAGATGAACACTGAATTAAAAGATTAAAAGCAGACAGAGAACCCATCCAATTATCAACAAATTTGATTGTTGTTGACTTCATTAAAAGAGGAAAAGCAATGAGAATGGATAGTTATCTCCCTTAAGAACAGAAAAGAGATCAAAGAAATTATTTGCTAAGATTATGAATTAAACTGTAAAAATACACTGCTCATACCTTCTTCTGCCTCCTCGTGACTTTGAGACTGTAACAAAAAAAATCATTGTACGTCTATAAACAAGAAATACTTGTACATGGATAGCTTTAAACATTTTTTAAACTCTACTGAATAAAATATGAAGATGAAGGAATACTTTGTTCAAATTCACACTTCTTCATGACTGTTTCAAATTGTGGTCAGTGGATCTGACCAGTTGAAATGATTACAGCTGCTGACCTGTAAGTTGACCAGAGTGTAATACAGTCCCTTTCTGGCCATTAATTCCTCGTGACTGCCCTTCTCCTGTATCTGTCCGTCAGCCATACTGAATATAACATCGGCGTTCCTGACCGTTGTCAAACGATGAGCTACCACTATGGTCGTCCTACCCACTTCTGCCTGAAGGATGTGATAACATCGTTAACAGGAGCAATACCAGACAACATAAAGAAATTGACATCTAAGGTTGACCTGCCTATTGCTGCCTAAAGGATTTATTGACATTGATCATTAACAGAGGCAAGATGATACAACACTCCCAGTGAATGTGGGATAAGAAGGTTGCACTGTACATGTATTATTAAACGATCAATAATCATTCTTTGCCACAAATGTTAACTATGGAGCTCTAACCATGTTAAAAAATGTCGTTTTCAAACTTTAAAACATGTAGCCATGGTGATCGTAATACCCAGCAACCAATTATTGTCTGATTTTAGTTTAGGGTATCAAAGACTTTTATCATAGAGAGTTTGGAGAAATTCTGTGACTATTCGTGCCACAGCTCCAACATAAAATTTCAAGTCATTATAGAGAACGGCTCTTAAAAATTTAAGCTTTCCAAACCTTTTCTAGGGCTTTTTGAACCACAGCCTCACTCTCATTATCCAGGGCTGAGGTGGCTTCATCTAGCAGTAGTATTTTGGGGTTCCTGACCAGGGCCCTGGCTATAGCAATCCTCTGTTTCTGTCCCCCACTCAGCTGGGCTCCCCGGTCCCCCACCAAGGTCTCGTACCCCTGGAACACAAATCATTCTTTAATGCAGAGTAGCATCATTGAAACTCATGTCTTTTTCCCAATTACACTACCAGAGGACAGCCAGTACTTGTTTTACAAGAAACAAGTGTTGTAGTGAAGTTGAAGTACCGGTATGTCTTATTACATGTACTATTATTTTATTAAAGAGATCTTTTCAGACTGTGTTATTTAAAACATAAACACTGGTATAAATTTTTTGTTTCATTTACATAGACGGGCAAGATATGCTTAAAAACCCAGTCCTGTAGACAACATTTTTATTTACTGAATTATTGTTACTATCAAATGCACATATACATGTACTTGTACTTGACATGAATATACATTTATGACTAAAAAAAAAAAACTTCTTGCGATTCAAAGAATTAATCAACAAATGTTTTTTCTTCAAAAATTCATTTTTATATTATTCATATTTTGGCAACAACAAAAAAACAACAAACAAACAAAACAGACAAACAAAGAAAACAAACAAAGCAAACCCTGACCTGTGGAAGTTCTTTGATGAATGTCTCAGCATTAGCTTCTTTGGCGGCCTGCTCTATTTCTCCCTGTGTCACGCCCACTCGACCATAACGGATATTTTCTGATATGGTCGTAGCGAACAGAACGGGTTCCTGACTGACGACGCCTATCTGTTGACGGAGCCAGCTGACGTTCAGGTCTCGGACATCATTCCCATCTACATACACCTACAGAAAGCAGTTAGAACTTTCAGAATGAGTGAAAAACAAAATGTTGTACATTCCTACAAGATAAAGCAAGATCTTTTTTTCATTTAATTCAATGCAAAATCACATATTTTCATGAGATCATTTTTTGGGAAAAAATATCGGTTTGTGGGGTTTTGATTCCGTGGTTGGAAAATATTTAGCTGTAATGCATATAAAAGTTAACATTTTGTGGTGGTCATAAATTTGTGGGTCACTCAATACCTAAAGAGTAAGCTAGCTTTCCTGTCTAAAGTAACACACCCAATAAAAATTAAACCTCAACGAAAATTAGTGATTTCACAGTAAAATCAATATACATCTAGAGAACAGAGCTGAGCAAGGAATCCATCTGTCTGACCCTTAAAAGCTGTTCTTGTATATTTACATGTAGATCACATATGAGGTTAAAAAAACTAAATATTTTTAACAGAATTTAAAGAATAATCACAAAATGTGATTGTCACTCAGAAACGCTCCCTCCTTTTGATCATAGAATACCGTATATTATGATAGAGTTACCTGCCCCTCCTCTGGGTCGTAGAATCTCTGTACTAGCTGTATGATGGTACTTTTCCCACAGCCTGAGGACCCCACCAGAGCCACTGTCTGTCCCCTCTTGACCTCCAAATTCACCCCTTGTAAAATCTGATTTTAAAAAAAAATCAATTTGTCTTAGTTATTAAAATATACAAACAATGTATATCTCAAAGCAATCAATTAAAAATGAGATGATGTTCGGAATATGCTACTGTTTTTAAAACAAAACATCTGATGTGTCAATATTCCGTGGTTATTTTTAACAAAAAGGTCTGCACTCTGACTTGACCTTGTATGGAATGTTGTAAGTCATTTGAAAAGCCACAGCAGATTTGGATCATTCCATTTAAATGAGGTTAGTTTTAAAATTTTGCATTAAATCTTTTCACTTCCTTATTCCAATTAAGCGAATAAAAACAAAATGACATTGCATTTCTTACATAATTCTACAAAATTAATAAACTACGCTATTCAACTATTATATTTATTATGTAGAGTTCACAGTTCTCATAAATAACTGAATCATCATATAGATATATGTTACTTTATAACTTTATATTAGACAAAGAACAAGATTTCACCTACTGGTATATCTGGCCTTGCGGGGTACCGAAAATGTACGTTCTTAAGTGTTATATTTCCCTCCATTTTTTCCAATTCCTTGCCGTCATTGACTTCGTAATTTATTTTGGATTTCTGCTCGATAATGGAGAACACTTTGGTGGCTGCACCTCTAGCATTGGCAATGACCTCCAGGGTCGGGAAGGCGTGACCCAAGGACATGGAGCCAATCATAACTCCTAGAAAGACCTGGAAATAAAGAAAAGACATGATCCAAATTAAAGACACAGAGTTTTTCTAACATGCAATCTGTTAAAAAATAATTGTTCTACCAATTAAAAATCAATCAAACTTAATTGGTACCCAGTATTTCTTTTCAAGAACACACAATTATTTCCAAATTTGAATTATCTTCATTTTATCCATAATGTAATTATCCACATCAACAGGTTCAACAAGAGCATGTTTTGTTTCCAGCTTCATAAAGTTCAGATGCTTTACCATTACGATTTGACAACTTCTCCAAAGCAGCCTCCAAAAATAATGCTTTGTGATTACATCCCCTCCTAATTCATTATTTTTTTTCATTTTAATTCACAGCCTCTTTCATATACGTAATTCTGATAATTTTTCAATTATTCAATACTTGTAATGTCATACATGTAGCACAAAGAAGGTGTGACCGCTCGGTTAAGGGATACTCACTCCTCCATGACACCTCATCCCACCTCTGATTTTTTAGAGATTTGCATTTGCTCTGCTCCTGGTTAGTATTGTATCAATTGACACCTGAGCTTACATACTATTTTTTATCTCCGTATTTCACATACATGTATTGTATGACACTTTATTACTTTTACTTACCGTTAAAGTTTTTCCTGGATCAAAGCCTTCATCAGGGTCTTGCATGAGTTTGACACCATAGTAGAATGCCACACTGAAGGCACTATAAATCAAGAACCAGAAGGCACAGACTGTAAGCCCAAGGACCAAACCTTTCTTGGCCGAGTTATTTTTGGCATCCATAAGGTTCAAGTTGTACCTATTATCAATTATAAAATTTTCAATTGTCATTTTTTTAACTGTGAAAATTAAACCTTCTCTCTGTTACTTATATGTGCTTACAGTTATATGTGCTTATTATACACTGTGGTACATGACATGTATTGAACATTTTCTCTGATATACTAAAATTAAACAGTTTTTAAAATTTGCACAGTATTTTGCATTCTTACCCCTTTATTTTCATCCAAAAATCACAAATTTTTTCTTAACCCAAACTGAGTTAAAAATTGACTGCTAAAGAATAAATATTTAAAGTTTCTTTATTGTTATTGATAAAATTTGATTTTTCAAGATTTTATGGCTGCAGTTGTGACTTTTGGATCAGCCCTGGGACATGTCATTTCCTAATAGATCTACTTTGTTCCAATTGACTTCCTTACACACTATTTTCAGCAGACTTTCTATTCATCATTTTAATACGTTCTTGGCTCTTTCTTATGCACTTTGTTTTACCTGACATTTTATTTACCGTTTACATTCTTTTTCCTGACCGTTGAAGGCAGTGACGGTTCTAATGGAGGAAAACACCTCCTCCGCTACCGAACCAGCACTGGCGTAGGCTTGTGATTCCTCCATAGACAAGTTGCGCACCCACTGAAAAAGAGATCAAAATCAACTACGGAATAAGTCCACTGCTTTCTTCCATTGACAAAGTTATGCACCCATTAAAATGCAGAAATAGATCAAATTAAGATAAAAAAAAAAAATTGGCATTGAAGATTTTTAAATCATTACACATAAAGGAATCCTTCATACAGGAACAGTTTTGCAATATTGTGGAATTATGGATTTAGAAGACTTGATAATTAAGGAAGCTTGAAAGTTATGGAGCAAACTTATTGCAAAGCATATCTTTTCCCTCATTTCCACTGATTGTTCTGGGACTGCACTTACTGTAAATAACTTTAGAACTTATTTTCACAAAATTACACATGACTGTTTGCCTCTGAAAATCTCAAACATATAAGAGTTTTATCATCGAAGAATTATTGTAATGGTACAATGACAAAAATTTGTGAAAATTGTGTCTCTCTAATAAATACACACCCTGGTAATAACAGTCTGGGGAAAAAATAAGATGTCTGGAAAGTTAAGTGCTATACAGTATTGCATTCTCACCTTCGTTAACATTCCTCCGACAACAATAACCAAAGGACAGAGAGCTACAGTGGCCAGAGCGAGTTTCCATCCTGACACGAACGCGATGACAAAAGATACCAGGAACGTAGTGGTCCACTGGATAAAGGTGGCCACTTTATCTCCAATTCCATCATAGATTAGATGCATGTCCCTTAAAATAAAAGGTTAAAATGGTATTATTAAACATTGTATTTTATTTATCAAAGTAAAAAAAAATACCTAATTTTCATATTCTGTTTCAAATACAGTCAAACTTCACTATCTCGAACCTGATGATGCTTTGAAAAAACTTTGAGATATCCTAGGATTTGCATACATGTGACAGAACTGAATAATCACAACTGGAGATTTGAAATTTTTCAGCTGGAGTTTGGGTCTCAAAGCTGGAGATTTTTTATTGACATTTTTTCAAATCGCAAAAGACCACCCAACCCCCTAGAAAATGCCGTCTCCCTCTTTATTACTTAATAACTTTTATTTCATAAAGTCTAGCTTTAAAATAATATGTTAGAATTTTTATTCAAATGATCAGAAGTGAAATTGAAATTAATTAATTCAAGAGTTAACATCATCATTAAAGCTTTAAATAAAATTTTATTTATGATTTGGTTTTGATACATCAACCAGTAAATTAAGTAAAACATAGTTCATATGTAACATATTTTATGTCAGTAATTTAACTGTTTTAAAATTAAGAAATGAATTTAATTTTTGAAGATTCATGAGGTTATGAACTATGACGCTTCACGACGGCATATTTCATGATAAATATGCCAGCCATGAAGCGTTGTAGTTCATATACCTCATGAATCTTAAAAAATTAAATTCATTTCTTATATTTACATTATTTTTCTGATGACTTGCAATAAATTTATGCCATTCAACTGTCAATTTTAAAGCAAAACAGTGTGCACAATATTTTTTGACGTCAAGTGCAGTATTATGACATAACAATAGAGATATTTATGCTTATTTGTAGTATATATGTAATGTAGTTCATGAGTTCATGAGTAATGCCCTGTTCACACGGAGAGTTTAATTTGAATTAAACATAAAGTTACTGCAAATTAGCTTCGCGGAGAATTTAATGCGAATTAGTTTAATTCGAATTAATTTACTGCGCATTACATTACTTCGCATTAGCTCCATGTGAACGCTAAGCGAAGCTAATTCGAATCAAATTTTGACGCATGCATAAGGCCAGAATTAAGTCACAGGACACGTGTTGGTGGTTATATATAGGTATTTGTGCTATATTTGTTTCAAAAATTGAGGGAAAGTATGTTAATCACTAAAATCAATGAGAAACTGTAGCCACTACATGATGTGTCAAAGGATGGCTCTGCATACATGACTAATTTACAAACGACGTCATAATAGACTTACTGACATCTGACTGTAGAAGAAAAATTTTAATTCGCATTAGTTTACTTCGTATTAGCTGTCGTGTGAACGCAATTTAATTCGCATTAATTTGATTTGCATTAGTTTACTTCGCATTAATTTACTGCGAATTAAACTTGTCTTGTGAACAGGGCATTAATTGAACTGCATTTTATTTTGTAAAGAATAATAGGGGAAATTTATTGGAAATGTAAATATTAGAGTATGAAGAGATAAAATTAACTTCTCTAAAAATACAACAAAGTAGAGTGAGGAAAATTTTTTTAGCAGTAAGTGATTAGGTAAAACATAGGTCTTGTGTAACATATTTTATGTCAGTAATTTTTGTCAGTAATTTTTTTTAAATAGAATATGAAGAGATAAAAGTAACTTCTCTAAAAATACAACAAAGTAGATCGAGTCAGGTATATTTTTTAGCAACACCCGTAGTTTGATCTATTTTTAACTAAAGTGTGACCCATATTATAACTGCATCTTTTAATGACCACCGCAGCATTGGAAGATGGCAATTGGGTATTTTAGCAACCATTTACAATGTTCTCCATTCAGAAATTCAGCAATAAAACATCGATGGTCATTTATCAAATTGATATATCACTAATTTTTACAACCCAATTATACAACCTTATTCTGATTACTAAGAAGCCTACTGCTGTAAAATTTATTGCACTGCCGCTGTTATCTCAATGTATTGTCATTCTAAGCAATTATAAGAAACATGATAAAAATTAATGCAAAATATATTTAATTTGAAGAATGATTTTAAACACGGAAGATTTAAAAATTCATCGGGAGGGGCGGAAGGGGGGAGATTTTACCTTCCGCCAGAAGAATCACATTTATGGATTCGAGATAACAAGGGTATAATATTTAAAGAATATATGGTTGGGATTTCCACATCACTTCGACATATCCATGGTATTCCAGATATTCGAGTTCAAGATACTGAAGTTTAACTTTACTTTGACAACATTTGATCAACGTAGGATACCAAAATTATATATTTACATTTGTAAATGTTTTCCTTTATATATATAACACTACAGAAAGCAATGCGTATACATCTATAACTGTATAAATACAGGTACAGGGTCAAGAGGTCATAGATGTACGTATGGATAAACGTTCAACGTAATTTCTCTGTGACGTCATAAAGGATCGACGCGCGTTCAGTGGATTACATACATGCGGTTGTGTTTGAAAAATAGCGCATTTCACATGTTAAAAGTCAAAATCAGGCAAATATAAAGTATGAATAAGTCACAAATGTAAATATAAGTAATAAGGTATCATTTTAAAACATCTATCGGGCTATAAATATGGGTTGGTACGAGATTAAATTCATCATAAAGCCCTTCGGGCTTTATGGAATTTAATCTCATGACCAACCCATATTTATAGCCCGAAAGATGGTTAAAAATGATATCTTATTTCTTAAATAATCCTTACTCTGAAAACCGAGTACTGAGTTCACTGCTCTCGTGTGTATCAAACCACTCCATGTCCTGTCGCATGATGGAGCGGAAAAAAAACTTTCGAATGACTTGGATCTGTCTCTCTGCCGACAACGTGAAACAAAAGATGCTGGCGTAGCCTAGAACAAAGGCACCAATGGCAATAAGGCAGAAATACAGAGCATACTCCTTGGCAATGTCTAGAATATTCAGGCTATTCTGTAGTTCCTCGCGGTTAAATAACAGTGTCTGGTTCGTATCACTACAAAAGTTTTAAAAAGTCCAAATTATAGTATGTCAAGCATATGCATAAATGGTACTGATAGCATGGACCATAAAAACAGCACCAAATAAGAACAGAATATTTCAAGAAAAAATTATTACAAATAAAGGAATCTAAAACTTTTAAGAATTTAGATATCAAACATGCTAAAAATATGTTAGCCAGACTAGGATTTGAACCTTTGGCCTCCTGCTTCCCACAAAAAAACTCTATTACTGAGTTCTTTGAGGCTAATGTACTGCAAACCAACTTTTATTTGAAATTCGTCAGTTTGCAATTAGTCCTTAATGTTCAATTTTTGCGACTGAGGAAACAGTCTGAGTCTCCCTCAATACAAAGCAAAATAAATGGTCCGAAGCAATTTAATATTCGTGTGTTAAATTTTTAGTTCGAGAAACTCGCTTATATTTCTCGCTCGTGAATAGTAGTTGGTACGGTACCTCTATACCAAGACCATTAGAGTAATAAGCAAGTATAGTTTTAATACAGGTGAATCATCTTACCTGAAGTTTATTTTACTGGCAACATCATACAGAATAAAAGTGTTAGCGAGCTCTCCATAGACGAAAAAGTTAATAGGTGTGGCACAACCAACGCCCATGGCACACAGAATCCCGATGACCAGGATAAACTTGTCGCAGGCACTGCCATAACGGAACTAGAAGGGAAATATAAAAATTTAGTTATACCTTTGAAAATTGTTTTCCTATTAAATTCTGTTTGAAAATTGTTTTGTTCTTATTGAAAGCTATACTTTTAACATTATGAAGTGGTAAGAGATGATAACAACATAAACTAAATGAAATGTGTGCATGTAAAAGTGTTAATTGTAAGAGTTATTTCCCCTTTTTAAAAAAATGTGTAAAATATTAATCTTAGTCTCTATTCTAAAATTTGCATGATGACCTAGAAATTTTCAGTCATCAAATTATATACAACATTTTTATGGATCTCTTTACCCATTTACCAAATGTTTTCTTTTACCATGTTTACCAAATATTAATTTCGTTATATTTCATATTTGAAAAAAAAATATTACGATTGGCTTCTCTATTATTTATATATAAATTAAGTCATCATGGTCATATTGATTAATTTTAAGATAATTTTGAAAAAAAAAAAACACTTGGTAAAACATTTCTTATGCTGATATTTAGAACATCGCACATTTGCCTTGAACTAACTCTTTGTTAAAGAGATAGGCAATTTATGTATTAAACATGTCCCTCCTCTGCTACTTCATGTAGCTTCTGCTGTAAGTGGTGGGGATTTTAGAGAAATGAGGATCAAAAGAGGTGAGTCTGAGATTAATCCCCCTTTAATCTCTCTTTATAAAATGATATTTGTCAACCAAAATCATATTTAATCTCTTTAACTAACTTCATAAAATCCCTGCATCATAGGAAAAACCCAAGGCATGTGCTGGTTAGTGGGAGTAAAAGTACTGGTGTTAATTGGAAAATAATTAATTCTCCTCAGAGAACAATTTTTCCTTTGAAAAGAAATAGCTGTCCTGTCATTATTATGTTAAAAAAAAAAAAAATCAGAAAACTTTCTCACTACTTAGTGAATGCACATCACTGCAGCTCTAATTCCCAGAATGGCTGTGATGATTTTAGACCTACCAGCTGAAAGAATCCTATATGTTGTATTTTCTCCTTCTGTCTGCCTTTTTTCACTTTCTTGACCTCTACTTCAGGATTAATGGTAACTTTGGTCTGACCTTTCCCTGGTTCGAGAATTTCCTTCTGTAGAACTCCATTTTCGGCATGTCCATTTGACACCGACACACCATTAGGGTTAACCACTTTTTCTGTGTCCATGATGACATCATTGGTGGTCAATGCAGACATTTGTGTATTCTCTTTCTCCATTATAAACTGATTGACACACGGCTCAGGTCTTCACTGATGGAAATTATTCTAAATTTTAATGTGAATTCAACTGTTCAATAGATGTAATAGGTCCTCTTCATAAATTTCCTCCATAAACATGACAAACATGGTAGATTTTCTTAGTATCTTGACCACATTCAATTTATATTCACATTCTTAATAAAAGTTTAAATTAACTGACCGTCCTCTTTCATATAAATAAAAAGTTCAACTGTATAGACACGTGCCTGTACTTAAATCCTCTTTATCGTGGACACAAGGTTTATTGCTGTTTATACACTTCAAGGTCCCTTTCTTCTATGGATCCCTGAAAAATAAATAAAATTTAACATGACTACATACATGATATATAATTATACAGAATATTTTAATATCTACACAACCTTTTTAGATGACATACCAACAAAATTTTATCCCTTAGGAAAATATTTGCACCATGCTCTATACAGAAAATGTTATAAAGAGTGATCTTAAATTTCTCTTAAAAATATTTTTACAAAATCAACATTATAAAACCACATTTCCCATTTCAAATCTTTCTTATATTCACTGCAGAGTAAAGAATTATTTGAGATACTTTCTCATTAAAAAAAAAATCTTACTAGGAAATTTTTGTAAACAGGCCTGCTGTACACATGCAAACATGTGCAGTACAGACTGAAAACAGTGAAAAAAAAAATTACTTACCTATAAAGAAAAGGTCAATAAAGTCCAACTAATAAATGATCTATTAATTAATTCTTAAATCTTTTGAGATAATTCCTTAAATATTCACACTTTTTTGACATTTACCCAATACTATGTGCATTTTGTTCATTAGAAAAACATTTAACTATGCTTGCTAAAAAGAAGCTGCATATGCTGTAGTAAGAAATATAGAGATGTCCTTTTGTCCTTTTCTAACTCTTTTATAAATATAAGTCTATTTAAAGGTTAGTATCTGTGACAAAACAGGTGAACAAGTAGACTGAAGAAAATGCAATCGATTTGACATTCCCCTTTCCGCTCTAAACATTAACTATCATGTGACCAATCTGTTTTACCTTGACTCGAAAGGGTTTTACATGTACTGAATATGCATTCATTTTACTGTTTACACAATACATGTATAAGCAATTTCCAATTAAATCGTCTGCAGCCATCCTTAAAATCAAATGCCATATAGGGCAGAAAACTCAGAATATACATGTACATGTAATACATATAATAATATGTATGACTGCATGCATGCATGTATCTGCTAATTAAAATAGGATTTATATAATTACAAAGCCAGTATAAAAATTGTATGGGTAGAAAAAATACACAATAGATAATTATTATTAATTGAGTATTGGTGAAATCATAAAATTCATTATTTATTAATTTCTATACAATTTGCAAACCGACAGAAGAAACTAATGATATGATAAAGGTTAAAATCTGGAATGAATTATGTAATGTTAAACGATGTCTGATTTATTGTCAAGAATGTTTACAGGAATTATACAAAAGAAGCTTTTGTGTTTATTTATGAGTGGGTTCACAAACTAGAATGCAGAGTGTAGTGTATGTATCATATTATTATTATGTGAATAATATATGACTTCCTTCATACATTCAACATATAGACATAACTTTAATAAGCATGTAAAGTGTAATTATCAATTTATTAATGTAATATGTATATCTTAACTGTCATCAAGCAATTAAACATTCACACAAAATTCATAAACTGATAATCATAATTAATTGTTAGGGATATGACTATCTTATCAGTCCCCAGAAAAATGCACTAAAATATAGTGTTGCCATAGATTGTGTGAGTGATTGAAAAAATAAAAGTATGAGGCCTAAAATAAAATTAAGTTTGTTTGCAGTTGCCTACCGACCCACTGAAAATGCACACGACCCAAACCTTTTTTTGGACATTTGGTAATTTTTTTTTTTTTTCAATTTTTCAGAATAAAACAGTTTCATAAATTTTGACGTTTTTTATCAATCAGTGGTTAATAACAAGAGGTGAGCTTATTCATGGCTAGTAAGTGTATGAAAACCTCTTTTTTTTGGTTATCTAACAAAAAACTGATTTTTTTTTCAAAAAAAAAAGAATGCCTTTGGTCGGCATGCAAACAAAGAATTTTTTAAGCTTGGCCTGAGGTTTTAAGCTCACCTGTATGTATATGTAAACTACATTTTCTATAAAATCAACTGGAGGAGATTTCCTTCAAAATTTGCCTGGTAAACTTTTCAACTTTGGAAATCTGAGATATCAAATGCTTAAGTGACAAACATCTAATCAATTGGACACATTAGAATTTGAGAGGAGGAAGACAACAGGGGCATATTTGATACAATGACACATCTTCAGTTTAGATGACAGATGGCAAATTAAAGAAAGGTCACATGTACTGAATAACCTTTCTGAACTTAAAACTATCATTAAAAAGCTGAAAATTGCTGAATGACATTATTCTCAGACTGAAAGAAAAGAAAGGAGAAATGTATAATTTGAGATAAATTGAGATTTGACCAGATTTTCAACTTGAATGATTTCATGGTTTCCTTACTGATCCTATGTAAAACTTCTGGCCCTGTTCAATAAGGGCTTACAACTAGGTTAGGGATGTCAATTTTAATTAGAAAGTTAAAGGCATAATTAAATTTAGGTCCTAGTTGGAAGTTCTTTTGTAAAACAGCCCCTGGTTTTTGGCTTCCTTAATACAAAGACCATGAAATAGAAAATTCTGGTTGAGAACATACTCAAAATAAAAAAAAAAATTGAGCATTAAAATGCTCCCTATATTGTCAATAAATGTGAGGTTAAAAATTAACAAGTTTTTGAAAGACCCCATAGTAGGCATTTGAAGTGAAATGCACTACCTGCAGATTCCACATCAGTTTCATCTTTTGGCTGTGTTTTTAAAGATTTTCTATATATTCCTATGTAAAACTTTGACCTTTTGGCAAAAACAAACTTGAATCTACACTATCAGGGTGATTCCACATGAGTTTCATCTTTCCTGACCCAAAGGTTCTTGGACAAGAAGATTTTTAAAGATTTTCCCTATATATTCCTTTAAAACTTTGCCCTGCATTTTGGCCCCACCCTACCCCCGGGGTATATTTTAACAAACTTGAATCTACACTATCTGAGGATGATTCCAAATGATAATTTTCCTGAAAAGGTTCTTGAGAAGAAGATTATTAAAAAATTTCTCTACATATATTCCTATGTAAAACTTTGATCCATTTTGGCCCCACCTACCCCCCGGGGTCTTTGAAAACTTTGTCTACACTTATATCCACATCAGTTTCATCTTTCCTGGCCCAGTGGTTCTTGAAAAAGATTTTTAAAGATTTTCCATATATTCCTATGTAAAACTTTGAATTTTGGCCAAAACTCTCTTTAAGCAAACTTGAATCTACACTACCTGAGGATGATTCCACATGAGTTTCATCTTTCCTGGCCCAGTGGTTCTTGAAAAAGATTTTTTAAAAATGTCAAATTTTTCTCTAATTCATAATTATCAATTGGAAAAGGGCCTGGCCCTTCATGCTTCACCCAAAGATACTTTGTACCAAGTTTGGTTGAAATTGGTAGTTTTTAAAGAAGATGAAAATGTGTTTAATAATAACGACAACGAGAAGTAAAAGGGCAAATTTTGATCAGAAAAGCTCACTTGAGCCTTCGGCTCAGGTGAGCTTAAAAGCTGAAAATTGCTGAATGACATTATTCTCAGACTGAAAGAAAAGGAAGGAGAAATGTATAATTTGAGATAAATTGAGATTTGACCAGATTTTCAACTTGAATGATTTCATGCCTTACTGATCGAGGCTCTAAGAGGTCTGGCCCTGTTCAATAAGGGCTTACAACTACCAGGTTAGGGATGTCAATTTTAATTAGAAAGTTAAAGGCATAATTAAATTTGGGTCCTAGTTGGAAGTTCTTTTGTAAAACAGCCCCTGGTTTTTGGCTTCCTTAATGCAAAGACCATGCAATAGAAAATTCTGATTGAGAACATACTCAAAATAAAAAAAAAATTGAGCATTAAAATGCATTTGTCAACAAGTATGCTGTTTTAAAAAAGACTGCAAAAGAGATATAAATTCAATTAGAAAATTTCTAGGTGTGGAATACCATTTTGTTCACTTTTTCTACAATTCTGCCTACTTATAACTGACTGTAGTCAAGTGTCAAATCAAAATTGTGAAATTTTATCTCCGATTAGCGACCTTTAGTTTTGTCAGTTTAAAAAATCGGGTTATTTTGCTTCGTGTAACTCATACTGACTTGGACTTGACATCTGTTCTGGATTTATGAAGAAATTTATCATGAGAAATATTTGTAAAATTCTTAAATTTTTTTGTCGGGCACACACACACACACACACGCACATTAAAAGCCGTTGCTATAGACCTTTATCAAACGATATTTTGTTTGCTGAAACACTAAATTATTTTGCGAGCCCTGATGCACAAAACTAATGCCGGCAAAAACTTGCTCTATCTTTGAAAAGCTATCTCTATTCGTTGAATGACGTTTTTCATTCAGATTCCTAAGTTACATATAACTTCTTAAAATTCTTATACCATAGAATCAATGTTTAGTTTGTATATAAAGGTATATGTAAAAGAGAGAAAATTGGATCTGCCAATGAATATGTAAATGCGGTATGCAGAATTAAAAGTGCGATTTGTTAATGAATGGTATATTTTAATTCGAATAGGGCGAATTATTCTACCGGCATGTTACCTATGGTGCAAACTTTCTAGTTTCGCGCATATACACAGGATCAACTGTGAAAATATTTTACTGAAGTACATTCTTATGAAGGTTAAAAATCTTTACGATAAATTTGAAGTGAAATGCAAAATCACTGTGTACGGCCTTTGGAAAAAGCAATAAAAATTCAGGGTACAAAAGGAAAAAAAGGTCGGGCTACAGAAACATGCCTTTAAACTTGCCCTGCAGGACTAGGTCTTTCCACAGAAAGGTGGAAAGACCTAATTACACACAATGTACCTGATCATTGTTAAATTTATTTTCAAACATATGTTTTATCATCATACTTATTATTTTTGTAAGTCAAAATGTAAAACTTTGAAGTTGATTCAAAATACCCTAAATGATTATAAATATGGAATTTTTTTAATAGAAAAATGTCTTAGGTACAATCATAGAGTGACATATAAATCACAGCCAGAATGCAGGATTTGGCATCTCTATTTTCAAAATTTCCCCGGGGGAGGCCCCCCGTACCCCCACAAGCAGGAGGGGGAAACCCCCTCCCGCACCAATCCCCCCCCCACCCCGCTTCGGCTACTGGACAACTAATACATGAACAGGGCTAATGGAAATTATAAATGGCTAGCCCTGCTGACAACTATGGTTTGAAAGTTAGTGTCGATCCCTGCTATTTCTAGGACAATAATAAATGTATTGCACTTATATATACATAAACAGGAACTTGAAGAAATGCACTAGATCAAATCTACACTTATTTGTCCTAATTCAATATTCACCAAATATTACACACTATTCCACATGCTAAATATTATACATTTACAGTTATCTAACAGAGGGATAATAAAACTGACACCTAGCTAGAAGAACTCCCTCTCAATTTTTAATGTATTGAGGACTTCTTAAACTGCATGATTTTAAAACCCTTTCAAAGTACAATAATGTATTGAAACATTTGGAATATTCTGTGCCAGCTGTCAAAATCCCTTTAATCAATTGATATCAATTGTTTAACATATATATTACACATAACCACCTTATAATTGAAGGATTCTGTTATATTCCTGTATATGTAACATTCCTTCGAAGACTGTCACCACTTTTGACGGTTAATACAATCCTATTAAAAGTCTGGTATAAATTTCCTGGAAGTATAAATAGAGTAGTACGTGTACATGTAAATAAACTGGGTTAATATATTTCTCATTCATGAAAGCAATCCCATTCAACAGTATACTTATAAGTACTGTATATACTCCATAGAGAGACAAGTACTCATATACAGTCATATGGGGAATCACAAGATGCCTATAAAAAACTATGGCACATTTCCCATTATGGAAATACTGCATTTTAAAACATCCTTGAGTATATTGCCATTAAAGAATCTATATCTATAATGTACATGATAACAGCCAAAGAATTAGATACTGTGTTGAAATCCACAACTTAAGCACTTACCCAAAGGTATATATTCAACTCATTCAGTATCAGCTAGTATATTCCAGAAAAATTGGTTCGAAAATTATACTCCTAAGCCTTTAGCATGTTTAGAAACATTCCAACTCTAAGTAAGCAATGCATGAGGTCATTTAACTCCAAAAGTACTAAAAAGTAACTTGTACGCCAGGGCAAGTGAAGCGGTCAAAACATAGGTCACTCAATGGGAACTGTCCAGTAAGTTTGTTATTTCTATGTAAGCCTTACTGTACATAGTCAACAGGCAGACAAAAGGTCTGGTTTATTCAAAGGTTAATAGAGCATTTTAAGTGTAAAAAAATGTCTTCGGGCTATTTATACTGCATTCGGTGAACATATGGACATTGCATCTTATTGTCAGGTAAAATCCATGCCTGAACTGCATGTATAGTCTAATTCAGATCGTAATATATGAATACATGAATCAAAAAGGCTAATACCTGTACAAGTATATGTCACAAAGTGAATTTATGTTCATTAATACATTGGTATATTAATTAATGGTACTCTAGCTGTACTGTATTTTCACATTTATTATTGTTTACTGTGAATTGGTACATATTACAATAAAATTTATCAAAGTATGTACACTTTCAATAAATTGTCCAGAGAATTTACATATCAATTATACTTTATTAAATTTTTTTAAGTACAACCGGTGCAATTTTAGTGTTAGTTTTTCTTCATCTTATGAGTCCCAGTTACATGCAATGCGGTCTGTTAAATAACAAAGTACATAAATTTCCTCTCTTACATTAGTTCTACAGAGATCTTACAAACGCAGTTATATCGTTTTTGTTGCGTTTAAATTGTTGCCCCATTTTCATCGGTCTAGTTGGTGCTCTTTCAAATTACAAAATGCAAAACCCCTTTGCTCTTTCTATTTAAATCAAAATCAGGATCAGAAAAGATAAGATTTAAAAAGCATATACTTTTCTATAACCTGATCTTTATGTAAGTAACCCGAGATCTGTTTTTGAAAATTAAAAACCATGAAAAAGGTGTCAAGAAAATTGAATGTTTAGAGATATTTAACAGAAAATTAAAAACTATTAGGCCTATAGGTCTTGAGAATCACCAAAAATATCTCAAGTTTCTAGGGTAATGAACATTTACAATGATCATGATGATTTAAGCATATAATGAAACTCTTGCCTCAGGTCTATTTACATAGATCAAAAAATTTCAGTTTGGTAAGGACTTAAATAATTATTATCATACTCACGCAAGTTGCAACTAATTTCTATTTAAAGAAAATAATTTAAGGTACAGTGAAACTTGTTAATCCAGCTGTTGTGTATTCCAAAACCTTGCCTAAATATACAATGTACACTTTAAGTCCAGGGCATTATAGTAAACTTAGTTATTATCAATTTCAATTATGTGTGCAGTTTTGCATTACGTCACAACCTTGGAAGCAGTGGGATGTCTGGATAAGACAATACAGGTGACTCTAGATCTCTCGAAGTTCAAGGGACCGCAAGAAAAGTTCGAGAGATCGAGGGGTTCGAGAGATAGAAAGAAAATAAAATTCGGATTTTTCAGTTCTGATCATCGATGTTCTATTATAGTTATAGATACCGGAAGTATATGTAAATAAAGTCATTTGCACGTTTTTAATCGTATTTTACAGGTAATTCTCTTGTCTAATGATTTCAACGACAATGTTCGTATTTCGAATAATTAAAACGAATTCCTAACGTTTCAAAATTTATTTGTTCTTATTTCATGATTAAATGAAACCCGAAAAGCAACATTGTCGGTTTTGCTATTCTGCGGCTTGATCAGGTCCTTCACCAGTGTTCTCCACTGACACCAGATTTTTCTTAATAGGTAGGGTATTCAGTCCTTGAGAAATGAATTTCTTGTGCAATATTTGCAATACTGGGATTATTTAGACTCTAATAAAAGTTCATAGTCTATGGAAACTGATTGAAACGAACGTCTATAAATTATTTTCTAAAAATTATCATCTCGGATTCAAGTCTAAATAAGTTGTGAATTTGTTTATAATTTATCTATAATCACCAATTAATTTTATCAAAACACGGACGACCCACACGTGTAGTGTCATCTATGTAAGCATCCAATTAACACCTCCATGATAGCCCCAGGCGTTCACTGTTTTCCAGGTAAGTCCAGGCTGCATCAATTTTACGCTTGATTGGTGTGTATACAAGCGCAATCAAAACTTCGAGAGATAGACAGTAAAAATCAATGAAATATGTGTAAGGGACCCATGTCTTGGTTCGAGAGATAGAGAGTTTCGAGAGATAGTGAGTTTCGAGAGATAGAAGCTCAGAGATCAGGAGTAAATTTGTTTAGTTATACAGAGGGGATATATAACATTTGAATATATGAGGTTCACTAATCTGAGAGATCGGATATTTTTGAGCCATCGAGAGTCACCTGTATTAATTAAGATTCACTTTATAATTAACAATGTGTACAATAAACATGATTTAAATTTCTATAATCTAATCCTGTTGCCTGAACCCAAGACAAATGTATTTTGTAAATTTAAGGAAAAACTATTAGAGTTGCTCATTATTACGAGGCAAGCTATTTTCCTAAGAAGTCCATGATTTCACCCCTTTAGTCCTCCTCACAGGTGTAAAACGGTACAAATTCAAAGCACACAGTTGAAGTTGATAAACAGAATCGTGACTGGGCGAATTTAAAAAATGGGGCAATATTGTTTGAAAGTGTAAAAGGGCGAAAATAATCCTGCATACAGTTTATAGTTTTTGTGAAGTATGCATAAACTACTCTCTATAAGTGTCTAGTTTGCTCCAGGTGTATAGGGTTATAGTTATCATGGTTCATACTAATACTGTACGTGATATATAACATTTGAATATATGAATAATTAATCAGGTAATGCATAATATTTTTGGTGTGTATGATGAGTATGATAACTTGCATAGATTATAATACCGTATAAGTGGAAATTTTAGCGAGACGCAAATTTAGCGAATTGTCCTTAAAAAATGGTATTTTATTTTTAGCGAGTAGTAATTTTAGCGTTTTAAAATGATCACTAAAGAAGCTATAACAATTTAAACAAAGTTTTGTTTAGCGATATTTAATTTTAGCGATCTCAGAACCCTAGCTAATAATGCCAAAATTAAATCCTCGCTAAAAATTCTACTTATACGGTATTATGATTAGTTTTTCATAAGAATTAGGCTTATTTTAAGATTTGTTTTTTTTTTATTCTTTCATATTTCATTATTTCATATTTGTTTGTCACTTTCTTATTTCTCAAAAGGGTCTTTCAGAATACATGGACAGTCCATTTACTTAAAAAAAAAAAACATTTAAAATTTTGATAGTTGGGCCATAGTCCCATTGACCTTCTTGGCCTTCACAATCACTACATTTGGTACCATGCCATATGCCCAGGAAGTGGGAGGTGAAAGACCTGCCAAGAAAGATCCTGTGTTGGTGTTTTTGGGTGCTAAAGATTTTTGAAGGGGGGAGTTTTCAGGGCAAAAGACCTTTAAAAAGGGAGGAATGTAGTGGTCAGCATGTTAAATCCAAATGGTCAGATAACTCAGTTTGTAGAGCGCCTGACTGAAGGTTCGGGGGGGGGGTTCAAATCCTGGTTTTGTTTTTCTCCTCTCCTGCAGTGTTTTTCTTCAATTTATAATTTTTTACAAATATAAATTGATTTTACTGAAACCAGGGTCGCCTACCAGCTGGACCTGCCTACATGATACATCACTGCTGAAACGCAATTTTAAAAATCGCATCAGTGCAGATGATGAGAGGATTTAAACACACAACATGTTAAAAATAAGTCCAGGAATTACAATATATGTCACCAACAAAGCTAGAACAATAAAGTACACTGAACACATCCTTACCAAGTAGGCAGCTTACCTCCGTTTTGCCAGTCTCTGTCGCAAGGGTTGGTCTAATTTCAGAATTTACAAAGTCTTGAATGATGACGGAAAAAATAACAATATATAGAGGTCGTATATAGAAAATATATTTTCAAAATTACACTTTTGATTTATTCGTATTTTCGCATAGTTTTTTTTCTGTTCATCATATTTTATCTCACTGACAACTATATATTAATATTCATAAATATAAATAAAATATTTCCCTCCGACTTGAAAAAAAATCCAATGTTCGTCGTGATTTTTTATTTATAAAAAGCGCTTGCAGTGTTACCCTGAGCAAGGCATGGGTTAAATTACATTTCAGAATCATTAATTATCTTTTACCTAAAGATTCTTGTGATTTCTGCTATTAGCTGTACCAAGTCTTTGTCTCCAAGACGCTTTATTTAGCCAGAAATGTCTCAGTCGGGAGGAAGTGTGTGGTATCAGCGAGAGATTGCCATAGCTGCCAAGAAACGGGGATGTCACTTAATTACAGACGATGTTCTCCATCAGGTCCCAGAAATAAAGAAGATAAAAATAGGAGTCGCAAATATACATAGTACGTTTTTTAGACATCCCTTTATAGCTTTAATATGTTTTACGGTGTGACCGTTGGGGCGAGCGCAGTTTATTTACTATCATAAACCTACACATGTACTGTCTATCATTCAAGAAAAAGAAAGCAAAAAGAATAAAACAAAACAATAACAAAACAATAAAAAGAAATCATTTCCAAAGCATCGGGATCGAGATTCCAAACTTCTCGGAAGTTTCCGACAAAATCGGAAATGCCCGAACCGTTGAAGTGACGAAAGTATGACGTCAGATAAAAAGTTCTGTTGACTTAGGACGCAAACGCTAGTTTTATGGAGAAGAGATTGCATTAAATCGTTCTTTTCAAGTAAGTTGTTGCTGTATTTTAGCCACCATGTTGCTATGCACTGCAACATGTTTTTTTTTTAGTTTCACACAAGCAATTGACATAACTTCGTCAAAATTCGTAAGTTTCCGGTGACGTCATTTGTATCATTTCCGAAGGGCAAGGTGAAGGCCGGTGTTGTGGCATGGGGGTATTTTTTTGAATAAGGTAAGGCAAAATCATTTCGTTAAGATTTATTTTTTTACTATTTTTGATTTATTCGCGCAAAGGACATTGGGTAGTGCAGGAATTCTGGGAATGTTGCACAGAGAAATTTGGCTGACGTATGTACAGATTTCAATCCGAATTTCCTCTGTTCATACACGTTAGTCTATTGAGCTCGCTTCGCGAGCGTCGCTTCGCGACGCTTGCTGCGCTCGCTATTATTTTAATTTAGAAGTTTTTAGAAAATAATTTTCAGAAATTTATAAACAATATCAGAAGACAATGAAATTTGACCCCTTAAAATTTTTACATTAGGCCTAGGGTTTTTCTTGGCATATGCATTTTCTTCAACGTGTGTATTTACATGTATCAGCATAGCCAATAAGCCTTAAACACAGCCTTCAGAATGCCATTAGTTTTAGAAACTCGGACATATTCCAATGTTACAGTGGACTATATTATATAACCATTTATTTCAAGGTTAATTAATAACTACGTGTAGATTAGGAGGAAAATAAATGGGTAATAATTGGATATCATGCTCTGAGTCGCAAAATGCATTTACTACAAAAAATACCGAAAGCACATTGCATCTAATTATGTCACCAGGTTCACACGTGTGTGAAAGTCAGTCTGACAACAGTTACTCAATATATCAGGTCTCAATAGCTCATTGGTTAGAGCGCTGACACAGTACGCCAGAGGCCCTGGGTTTGAGTCCTGGTTGTGACTGTATTTTTCACCTCATGGTGCCCAACATGGGCTATGGAGAGGGGGAATATGTCACCAGGTTCACAGGTGTGTGAAAGTCAGTCTGGCAACTCAATATATTGGGTCTCAATATCTCAGTGGTAAGAGGTCCTGGGTTCGAGTCCTGGTTGTGATTTGATTTTTTTCTTCATGGCGCCCAACATGGGCTAAGGAGAGGGGGAATATGTCATAGGGTTCACATGTATCTGAAAGTCAGTCAATAAATAATCGGGGTCATAAAACTTTGGAAATTCTCAAAAAAAATTCTCCACTCAACTCTTTAGAATTACTCAGCTGAGATTTTGAGAATAAAAGAATTTAAAGTATTTTTGTTTTTCTCAACTTTTTATGACGGCCGCTGATTCTGATAATTTTGGATTTGAGAAAATTCTCAGACTTGAGAGCATTCTCAGACTTAAGTATGTTTTATGACGGCGGACCCGGGTCTCAATAGCTCAGTGGCATGGTACAACAGAGGACCTGACAGGATTCGAGTCACAGCTGAGAATTTTTTTTTTCATCACCTTGGAAAATGAAAGGAATTGAATAGCTTAAATGCAAGTTATTGTATACCTGTAACTGACATTTTGGGATAGAGAGCTTTTCATTAAAGGGTCATGTATAAATAATTTTCTTTCCCTAATTTTTCAGTCAAGCACACATCAGCAAGTCTATGCTTAAATGAGGTATGTAGAACATTTATTTTGAAATAAATAAATTTTATTATACCTCCCGCAAACGAAGTTTGGGGGGGTATATAGGAATCACCTTGTCCGTCCATCTAGCTGTCCGTCTGTCTAGCTGTCCATCTGTCGGTCTGTCTGTGCAAACGTGTCCGGGCCATATCTTTCTTACGGAGGAACATTAGAATCTGCTACTCCACGCAAAGATTGCCCATAACCTAAGGGTGTGTCATGACCTTGACCCAAGGTCATTTGAGGAAGTTCAAGGTCACTGGAAGAAAAAATTCATAATTTGTGTCCGATCCATATCTTTCTTATGGATAAAATTGGTAGGTTCTAATTTCACACAAAGATTGTTTATAACCTAAGGGTGTGTCATCACTTTGACCCAAGGTCATTTGGGGAAGTTCAAGGTCACTGGAAGAAAAAATTTCATAATTCGTGTCCGGTCCATATCTTTCTTATGGATAAACTTGGTAGGTTCTTATTTCACACAAAGATTCCTCCTGACCTAAGGGTGTGTCATGACCTTGAGCCAAGGTCATTTGGTGTAGTTCAAGGTCACTGGACGAAAAATTTCATAATTCGTGTCCAGTCCATATCTTTCTTATGGATAAACTTGGTAAGTTCTAATTTCACACAAAGATTGCTCATAACCCAAGGGTGTGTCATGACCTTGAACCAAGGTCATTTGGGGAAGTTCAAGGTCACTAGAAGAAAAATTTCTTAATTTGTGCCCGGTCCATATCTTTCTTATGGATAAACATGGTAAGTTCTCATTTCACACAAAGATTGCTCATGACCTAAGGATGTGTCATGACCTTGCATCTAGGTCATTTTGGAAAGTTTAAGGTCACTGGAAATAAATTTTATAATTTGTGTCCGGTCCATATCCTTCTTTATTCTGGGAAAACATGAATCTACCACTTCACACAAACGTTGCTTATGACATGAGGTTGTGTCATGACTTTGAACCAAGGTCATTTATGCAAGTTCAAGGTCACTGACAGAAAAAATTCATAATTCGTGTCTGGTCCGTATATTTAGTCTAATTTCTTTATTAGGCTGCGCCTTCGTTTCATTTATAAAAAATATAATGAGCAACTACATTTGCACTAAAAATGTTTTAGCATTTCTTTCTTCTCTTAGATCCATAAAATATTCATGATTTAGCACTTCTGAAAAACCCAGTAGGGGGTATTTTGTCCCATTTGGACAGTTCTAGTTTTAAATTATGATTTATTTGTATATATGTCTATAAACTGGCCACAAAGCATTCTTAGATATAGCTATAGGGGAATTAAGTTCTTTAACATGAAGAGACACACATCTACTCCTACTTTCAAGGGGAGATAATTATGAATTAGTGTATTAAATTTAATGGCAATCTAGAAAAGAAATTTCTAAAGAACTATTTTGGCCAGAAAAAATGAAACTTGTATGTAAACTTCAATATAAAGTGAAGTTATAAATTTGTTTAAATCCCCTGAATAAAATTTTATGATCACAGATTTGTTGTTTCTTAGAGCCATTGTGCACCTACTATTTCACTTTTTGATTGGACACTTATATCAATTCTCCCATAGCAAAACATGGACCTTGTCATTTTAAACATATGGGAGGCTAAGAGTATCATTTTCTTAGCTCAGTGCTCACAGTATCTGAGACTACAGTTTTTTGAAACGTTTGTTAGAGGAAGATGCATTCTATAAGTAGATAACATACAAAGTTCTGATTTTCTTCTGTCTACATGGTGTAATTTTGCTAATACATTGTATATGCATGCACACAATCTAGGCAATTAAAGAAATTAAGTGATAATTAAAGGAAATGATTTTGTTTTGATTTTTTTTTTTTTTTTGTAGAACTGGGATCCTGATGTCAGGTAAGAGAAAATACAAAACTAATAAATATTTAATAATCATAAATAATGTAGACCAAATCTTTTTTATCATACTACATCATTCTCATCTTCTGTTGTTAATGCTCAAATAATGTTTTACTAGAGTGGACATGGAGATGATGATGAACAAGTTGATTCCAGAGGTAGGGGCATTATTTGATGATTAAATGAAGATTGCAGTTGAGATTGGCACGTTTAGAATAGTGAAAAGTTAATTAGTTTGGTACCTTTAATATAACCAATTACACATACACGGTAATAAGAAGGAAAGATATACTGTGAAATTACTATTTTTTGTTGGGTTTAATTTTCATTGTTTTCCACAAAATCAAATCCCCATGAACCCATATTTTTCCTGAGAAAAGGAAAAATTGACCCCACGAAAATATGTGATTTTACAGTATATAATTTTCCAAGATTTAATTACCTTAGTGTCTACAAAAATGTCTAATCTAATTAAAATTAGATGTTAGATCCGCTCGCATACTCGCTACACTAACATTTAACAACATCCCATAGAGGGTCAAATTCGGAACACCTCTAGTCTTATTCGCTTCAACAATATATAATGATGTTGCAGGCGACAATTTGATTGGTTAATAGAATTTGACCTCTGATGTGACCCTTAATGGGATGTTGTTAGATGTTAGTGAAGCGAGTATGCGAGCGGATCTAACATCTAATTTTAATTAGATTGCAAAAATGTCCAGAAAGAAACCCACAATAAAACAGTTTGTCTGCAAGTGAAGTTTGTTTTGGTTCCAGAAATCAAATCTTCTAATTGACCTGACATTTACCCAATCTTTGTCATTTTCTTTCTTTTTTTTTTTTTTTTTTTTTTTGACACATTTCATATGTTTAATTCATTACTTTAAATATAAGGCATTAGCCTAATTACTTTAAATATTAGGCAGTAAGCCTTATACATGTATAAAGTACATTTGTTTGATTTTAGGCCAAAAAAAATTAATTTCTTGGTTCTCAGGCCCTCCCTCATCTCTTCCAAGGGTGCCTCATTGACCCTTTTTATTGCTAAATCAATAAAATAAAAAAATAAATCACCTCCCTCATCATTTTTTGGGGTTTTGTACAATGTAAAAAGCTGCCTCATCATGTTTTAGGGGCAATAAAAAAGAAAAAAATGCCTCCCTCCCTCATCATATTTCTTGAAAAAAGGCCTGAGAACCAAGGAATTAACTTTGCATGGCCTTAATATGGTAAAATAGTTGTATTGACTACCATGTGTAATTTCTGAATTGTTGTCCTTTTGTTTCAGAGTACGCCATTCAAACATAGTTGTGAAGGTCCAGATGATATGGTACGTTAGGCCAAAAAAAATTAATCAATAGTTTCTCAGGCACCGCCGCATCAGTTCAAAAACGGCCGCATTGATCAATTTTATTGACATATTGAAAAGGGAAATAACTCAATTTTCTATTTTTCCAAGTTGAAAAAGAAAATTGAGTTATTCCCCTTTTCATAAATGCAAAGAAAGACCTTTTTTATTGGAAAAACAATATATTTCTTCTAAATCTAAACTATTTTATGAGTTAACTTTTAAATAAATGTTTGGAATAACATTATTTAAAGTTGAATACATATTATAACTAATTTCAGAGAACAAAACTTAAGAATTAGTAGATATTACCATTTTATTGAACAAATTAAATTTTAAAAAAAAGTGTAAAACATGCTTCAAAAAAAAAAAAAAAAAAAGCCTGCCTGCCGCATTGGATTTTGAATTTTTGGGCCTGAGAAACTATTTATTAATTTTTTTTGGCCTTAATATCTTTTTAAATATTATCACTTTTACCTATTGATTACATGTAATATGTTTGATTTGCAATGTTTTTAAACGACAGTATAACTCCCATTATCTCCAACACTGATATCTTGAATACTATGGATATGTCACACTGATTTTGTAGTCCCTTTCATCTAATCTTTTAGTATTTTACCCTTGATATATCCCAAAACTTCAGATATCTGAATAATGAGGTGTGACTGCATGTAACTATTGTAAAATGTGAACAACAAATAAATTGTAGTTATAGCTATGATATCCACAGTTTACAAGCAACAAAAGCATTAATAAATAACCATTAAATATCATCAGTATTTTTGTATATTGTCACTTCTTGTGTCATATTTTATGATCACAGGTCAATATGAGAATTTATTGTTGTTGGAAACAATTTTACAATGCACTACAATCCATAATCCACAACTCTTGTTCATTGAAAAAAAATCATATTAACATTATTGACTTGTATTCCTTCAATTTTAAATGACTCATCTCTAAACTTTACTTTTCATTAAGCCAGCCCATGTGAAGGCAGCGTTTATAGGTACAGGTGTCAGTATACCTATCACAGATGGCAAGTTTAATCTAGGTACGTGGCAGGGCCTCTGGCTGTGTGAACACAGAAACTCTGCTGGTAAGTTTGTAACACAATTTAAGCCCTCAGCTTTCATTTTTACATCCACATGAATCTTACAATGATGGAATTTCTTTTGGGCCATATCTTTAAAAAATGTTTAGTTACCCTCTCCTAGCCGACTGCTTAAAGAAACCAGACTCAAAACATTTTTTTTTACAATCCAGGATAGGATATTTTTTTCCTTTTTATTCCTCTATCCCGTCAACAACTATACTGAAATTTTCAGGAAGAAAGATTTTTCTACCTACTGACTCAATAATATTTACCCTAAGTTGGGAGATGGGATATTTATTTTAAAGATGGCCTTATATAAAAATTGTGTTAAGGGGAAGTAATCCGTGATTTTTTTTTCTTCAACAAATGACAAGATACATGTAGTAGTCTTTTTTCGAATTATTGGAATTTTAAACTTATAAGAGCAGACTATTCATTGGGGATTAAATTTTGTTTATTTCATCATAAAGTATTATCAACAGAATCATATTTACTGAAGAGGATTACTTCCTACACAATGAAATTTAATACCCAAGCATCCTTTATAGATAAAACAACAAAATTTTTCCATATGAAAATATATGCTTCTACTGTATAATGACCTACAATTCTTCAGGGAAAGGTAGAAATTCATGGATTACAATATTGTAAGATAAAAATTATTTTGGTTATTGCTGCACTGTTACACATTCATATGTGGACAGGAGTATAAGAATGTCTTCATTTATCAGCACTGTGTATAATTACTGGGGTATATATTTAGGTACTGCAATTGATAATCAAGTTTACCAATAATTCTATCAAATATTTCTCTTCACTTTCAGGAAGGAGAACTCTTGTGGTTACATTGAATGGATGTGAACGTTGAATTTGTTTCCCTGCATACAACTTGTAACTCAGGATTGAGGACTTGTTTGTTTTTGGAGTGTTTGTATAAATTTACCAGTTTATCTGTGATAGGTTTTAAAATGGTCACATTTACAGGTTGTTTGAAACCAGAAATAAAACAATTAATAAGGACACCTTTAAAAAAAATTGTATTTGCAATTGCCCTCAGGCCTCTCCTTACAAAATAATTTAGGGAGCCCGGACTCATAACTCTTCTTAACCTCTAGGAAACATTTTTTCATTCTTTTGGAAGTTTTCTCATTTAAAATTATTTCAACATCATAGTTTTAAGTAATTTCTAAATTAAAAAAAAATATTTCCCTATCTACTGACCCAATATTTTTATCCTCAGGTTAGAGCGGGCAAGCAAACATACCGTACTATAAGTGGAAATTTTAGCGAGACGCAAATTTAGCGATTTCTACCTAAAATCTGGTATTTTATTTTTAGCGAGAAGTAATTATAGTGATTTTAAAATGCTAACTAAAGAAAGCTGTTACAAATAATACACAATTAATTTTTAGCGATATTCAATTTTAGCAATGACAGCACCCTCGCTAATAATGCCAAAATTAAATCATCGCTAAAAATTCTACTTATACAGTAGTTAAAGATAATTGTGATACATGTACGGTGTACAGTGTGACTTGATTATGAAATGAATCATATTTCATCTTCAAAAATTGTAATATATAAATCTTTGTCTTTGTAACTTTCTTAACATTTTGAAAGGAGGAAAATTCTAGATTATTTCATCAAGTTTACATATGTCTATATATAGTTTATCCATTTATGTATGTGACATTAAATAAGCTTTGAAAAAAAATAAAACATATAACAATAAATAAATACACTTTTATTTTTTATAAACAAAACAAAACTAACAAAAATAACATCTTAACAAAATTGTAGATTGAGATACAAAGGTATAATAATTGGGTTTTGTACCAAAAAAACGGAACACATTTCTTGTACCTGATATTTCACAGGGTACCGGTTTATATTTAAAGTCCCTTGTCAAAGCATTGGCTCATGATCACTGGTAATCACTACAAAGGTAATTTAGAGAACAATCCTGTCTCAAATCTATCCTCAGCCAATTATATATAGTTGATAATAAATAATCAGTGTCTGGACAAAGTAAGGAAAGAACTTTGTTTGAACTTTTCTCATTATAGTTCTCATAAAAATTACCTGGTAATACAATTTATTGCATCATTAAATGCAAATAAGACCAATTTTATTTCAAAGTGAAAATAATAATTTTTATATCCAGGCAGTTTCCTTATATTTTATATTAATGCATTTACTCTGTTTTTGTCATATTATCAATTGCTAACTTAATTGTAGCCAGTGTGATAGTACTAAAACAAATTTCGAGTATCCTTAACTTTCTTAGTATTCTTTATAAATGTATAATATTGTACAATATTGTACACTGCAAATATATTTTCTGAAAATGTCATAGTTTCATAACAAATAATTCAATGTATTATTTGATACAATCATTAAGGATTAATTAAGCCATGGATTCATTAACACTGTCAAGTTCTGATATTTCTAAGAAGCCTTTTAATGGACGAGGAAGAGTGAGCTCCCTTAGCTTCTGCAGGAAGTGTGGTTTGAGCAGCTGTCTGATACAGACTCGACACTGCTGTTGTAGGTACACGGGTCGTACATCTATATCAAGATTATCCTCCACCGTTTTATAGTACTGTTCGATAGTGAATGAGTGATAAATAGCTGGGTTACTGAATTTAGCCCCTGCCAGTAATAACATTTTTGTGATCTCTAGGTCCCCCTGTATCAAGGCTAGAGTCAGTGGAGTGGTGCTAAGTCCTGACACCCAGCCTGATAAGTCAACATTACAGTTGTGTTTTATCAGCAGCGCTACACAGGATGGTTGACGTTTCTGGACAGCGTGGAGAAGGGGGGTCTTGAACATTCTGTCCTGAAGGTCCGGATTTGCCCCAGCTTCTAAGAGCAAACTAGCAAACATTTCATTGCCTCTTATAACAGCAGCATGTAAGGCAGTCTGACGATATCTTGACGAGAAATGGTTGACATCACTCCCAGCTTGGAGGAGAATGTGAATTACATCTGCGTTTGAGGAGTACATTACGGCCCACAGCAGAGGAGTGAATCCTCCCCAAACCCTGGCATTGGGGTCGCCTCCTGTTCTTAGCAGGTGCTCTAAGATTTCTACATTTCCATATCGACTTGCCCAACAAAGTGCTGAATCAATCACTCCTTGTTCACACCCTTGCAGTAATAAGTTGACGACCTGACTGCTGTCGCCCTTGTGTACTGCCTCCAATAGGGCAATATGGCAATTACTCATGCTTACATATGTATATATCTGGAAAATGATGATATATATACAATCCCCGTTTTTGGCCCCAACCTAGTCCTTTACATTAACATTTTTCTCCTGCTGACATGTTACACTAATCAGATATTTCAAAAGCTCACAATATTTTCCTTGGCTGTAAAGCTCTGTTGATCTGTTATTAAAGACTGCCAATCTTCAAAGATTATTTGGCTCTCTAAAAATAAAATGAAGCTGAATACATAAAAGTCCTGTTTAAAATGTGTTGCAAAATTGTTCAAAATTAAGTCATTAAATTGGGGGGAATATGGTTTGTAGGAATGTTGTTTTTATGGATGCAGGGGATGCTCACTCCTGCATAGCACCTGATCCCACCTCTGATGTTTGGGAGATGTGTGTTTGCTCTGCTCCTTATTTTGTATTGTTTAATGGACTTTTGATTTTGAATACCTGTGTTTGTTTTCTCCATATATTTCACTGTGTTTCATTTGAAATATAGAACATGAATTCCATCCAAAATAATTGACATTTCAGAATATTATTCATTTTTTATCAAAAATTAATTTCCTGAATTATATCTGCACGACATATGTTTCTTTCTTCCCTTTTTTGCAAGAAGCCAAAGATTAAAACAATGACCTTTTTATATCTTTTTACATCTATACACTTTGCTTACTAGTATATATATTTTTTCCGTCGCCCTTCAAATATATAGAAAGATATCTAGACACTTAAATTGGCAGTTATATAAAATTGAGCAATCTGCTGGCACCAATGCAATGTGATAATTGATAAATGAACATCAGTATGAAATTTCCAAAATGAGCGGATAATATAAAATTTAGAGCGTGAAAATATTTTGATACTCATTTCCTGATGTTATATTTTTATTGCGCACTTACCTACCTTTCTACCAACTTTGTTTTGTAAACATGAAAGCATCTGTTTGATCCAGATCGGAAAGGATGCACTAAACACCGTAAATCTACAAGTATACACGAGATGTGAAAGACCACGTAGTTCCTGTTCTACCACACACAGAAATTTGAAAGCATAATTTGAAGTTTTTATTCGTTTTCAATTAGCATTCAAACAATGTACATATGTAGTTGAAGATTAAATTTCTAGTCAGAATGTTCTATTCATACAAAAAAAATGAAAACTTCCGTGACACATTACAATTCTTCTTCATGTAACTATAGGATAAAGCCAAGGAGTATCTGCAAAGTCGTTTTTGAGAAGAACCAATGATCAATAAACATGTTGAAAGGACACCAGTCGCACCCTATTTGTTTCAGCATGAGTCTTGTCACCCCCCCTTTATTTTTAATCATAAGATATGAACTTTGATTGAGCATGACAGTGGCGGATCCAGAAGTTCATGTGGGGGGGGGGGGGTGTAGGCCCAAAGGGCCGAATTTCGGGAGGGGATGCCTATTCATAAAAAAATATCTATGCAACAAAATGATAAAATGACATTTGTAAAAAAAGAAAAAAAAAAAAATCAATGAGTGTGTGTGTGTGGGGGGGGGGGGGTCCCGAACCAAACCCCCTGGATCCGCCACTGCATGATGAGCCTGAATACAAAATGTCACAGTGACCATGCATGCTGATTACAGCCTGTGCTTACGAATGATCTTATTCAGATTGAATGGCTGGTTTTTAAACTTAAAAAAGCTTAATTACATGTAAATCATTTAAATCCGCGGCCAGGTGTGTTACGTACATGTGTACATTATTCAATTGTTAGTAATACTTTTTAAGACTATAACATGACTAAGTAAGCTAAGAAAAGAATTGAATGTTCTTCCGACATTTTTCATCTTGTATATATCATGTATATAGGAACAATTTCTTGAAGAAAAATAATTGAATGGAATCGATTAATTTCTTCATTTTTTCTTTAATCATAAGATTAAAGAGAAATGAAGAAACAATCGATTTTATTCATTAAAAACAGAAAACCGCTCTCGAGAAATTATTCCCATAGATATACAAGATGAAAAATGTCGGAAGAATATATAGGACTGGTGTCTGTTATATATTGTTTCAAATTTGTTAAAAATTTGTCAGAATTAATTTAAGCATAGACCTCTATGATTTAAGGAATCACTGTCTAGTTAGAAGAGTATATGCCAGGGCATCAACGATAGTTGGAAACGTGTGATAATTTGCATAACGGTCGAAGCCCGTTATGCATAAATTACCAGTATCCCACGTTTTCAAATACTGTATCATTGATGCCTCTGGCATACTCTTTACTTACTAGACAATGATTCCTTATATTTTCATTTCATTGCTAAATAAAATTGTAAAATTGATTAAGATTTTGCAAATGTTAATTGTTTAAAATATTTTAATTACACGAGGGCCCACATGTCAATTTCAATAGTCCCTGCCCACTGACGTCAAACACAAATATTTCCATTTCTAATTTTTCTCTAGATGATAACTCTTTGAAAGGTAGCGGAGTTAATTTCTTGATAATTCTACCGGAATGTAAATTAGGCAGGTCAATATGTCAGGAGCTAAGGAGGCCTAATATGCATGCAAATCTCGTGTGCATCTGTCTCTGAGTCTGACGCTAAGGAGGCCAAATATGCATGAAAATCTCGTGCGGCTGCTGTTGTGTTTGACGTCAGAGGGCGAGGACTATTGAAATTGGGATGGGAATCCTCGTGTAATTGAAATCTATGTCTGCAATTTTAAAGTCTAAATCTACAATTTTATTTCACAATAAAATGGAAATATAAGGAATCACTGTCTAGTTAGTATAGTATGCAAGGGACATCAGCAATAGTGGGAAACATGGGATAATTTATGCATAACGGGCTTCGCCCTTATGCAAATTATCCCATGTTTCCCACTCTTGTTGATGCCCTGGCATACTATACTAACTAGACAGTGATTCCTTAAATAAGACAACCGCTTGAAATTTACATGCCGGCCTCCTCAACGTCAGCTACAAAGACAGACGCACGAGATTTACAGGCATATTAGGCCTCCTTACATGTAGTTCCTGACCCGTTTTTTTTTTTTTTTTTTGGCATTATTTACACTCCGGTAGAATTAGTTCAAGAAATCAGCTCTACTACCTTTCAAAAAGTTATCACAGATAAAACAAATATAAATGGAAATATGTAAAATTAATTTTACTGTGTATGTGTATATACAGACTGCTTATCTCATTTGGGATTAAATTATCGAATCACGGATCCTTCTGCATGTAAGGTGACTAGTGCGTAATATACATGTGGTAATACATTTAATTAGGATGATGACCTAGCTTCCGTGAAGCGCACATAGATGCGCTATACACACACCATATACAATACTAATTTGAGAAAATGAACAGCAAAATCAAACTTCGGAAATGTTATCGTATTTATTTAAATAAATATAGGCATTGTCGTTTTACATACACTGTACATGACAGCATCTTTTAAAGTTGACTCTTTATATCTAATTAAGGAATCACTGTCTAGTTTGTTGGGAATGCCAGGGCATAAACGAATAGTTGAAATTTTTGGCAAACATGGCATAATTTGCAATATACATGGGTAATACATTTAATTAGGTTGATGATGACCTAGCTTCCGTGAAGCGCACATAGATGCGCTATACACACACCATATACAATACTAATTTTAGAAAATGAACAGCAAAATCAAACTTCGGAAATTTTGTTGTATTTATTTACATAAATGCAGGCATTGCCGTCTTACATGTACATGACAGCATCTGTTAAAGTTGACTCTTTATATTTAATTAAGGAATCACTGTCAAGTTTGCTGGGTATGCCAGGGCATAAACGATTGTTGGAAACATGGCATAATTTGCATAAAGGGCGAAACCCCATAAATTATCCCACTGATTTGAAAGTACCTTGATTAGTTAATACGAACCCAATGATGTAAATATCTAATTTATTTTCTTTTTTAATGGATCATGATCTGTTTTAAAGTCTCGAATCAAAGGCAATGGCCACGAATTTGTGTAAGGTCTAAACCAAAACGTTTTGTTTTATCTTCTACTGCGAGGGAACATCTTCCAAACGTTTGCTTCACATTTAGTCTGTTGCTTTTGACCTACAATCACTCGTAACTTCAACGGAGACGTATAAAACCTTTTTAGTTGATAAATGGTCACCTGTATATCTTTCTTCATTTTGATGCTATAAGTACCGGGTATGTCTTTGGTCTGCATCCGTTTTACCAAATAGATTGTGATTTTTCATGACAAGTTTTTGAATCATTTATTCAGGAAATAATAGGTTCTGCTTAAACCAATTAATTCCCTTTTTTGGCCAATATTTTTGTCAAGAAACGAGAAGTTAATTGATTGATAATATACACTGAACAAATCCTTTCTGCTTTGATGGTATTTTAAACAACTATTTTTTTTCTTACGTGATGATTTTGTTATTGCAATTATTATGTTCCTTATTAAATGAAATGCTTCGTCACTAAGTCTTATTGACATTTATTTAATGTATTTACTTAAGAGATTCTGTCTTGATAATTTGCGTGATCATTATTTGTTTTGCAAAAATAAACAGTTGCTGATTGGGATTTTGAAGTAGTTTTCTTGAATCTATAAAAAGATGGACTCTAAACATCTTCAAACATAGGAACAGATGCCTTTGCAATAGGTAATCTAAAAAACCCGAACAAAGTAAAGACACTAATTTTTTTTGTACCAAGAGTCTCTGTATATATTACCCCGAAATACTCGATCTGTTTCTATGAAGGTTCATCCAGGAGAATTGTCAGAACTGCTTTTAAATAGAATATTTATAGAAAGTTTTCATAAAAACTTGAAAAAATACCTTCGAATATTTTCCTTAACATTCCTGATTCCTTGATTGTGATGATCATAAATTATTCGAGTTAATTAGTAATTAGGAACTCTCCAGTAGACGGCAGATGATGTTCATGATTTCATTAATTGAAACCATGTCAGTAGTCTTGGGAGGGGATCGGAAGAAGAGAGTTTAGTTCAAATGACTCTGATTGTCAAGACTCTCCGAAGAAAAAATTGAGAATCCCAGAGAACCAGGAGTGGTACACACAGAAGATCAGAGATCCTCTGCTGAGATCCAAAAAGAGTTAGAAGTTGGACGATGCTGCATTTCATTTCCGGAAATCTGCATAGCATTTCCGACATTTTTTTTCTTTCATTTCCGACATTTTTTATTGGAAAATGTCGGAAATGAAA